CGCTTTCTCTACTTGACAGCCTTCTGCTCAGATTCCTAAGTTCCAGACATGGCACTGGGTATTCTCTATCATTTTAATTTTTGCTATTCTTACTTAGGATTCTTAATGTGGGATGTGTAGACACCTAGGTCCTGAGATTCTCACTTGCTATGCACTCCGCATACTTGGAGGGTAGGGAATGACTGTCTCCTTAGAGACGCAGATTCTGGGGTCCCACTGTTCCCTCCAATTCAATTAAAGCCTGGGGCAACCTTTGGGAATCTGCATTTGATACAAGCATTTCAGGTGTTCTGATGAAAATTGTAGCCCATGCTTTGATCAAGGCTGAAAGGGTATGTATGAGTAAGCTCCAGGGCATCTGTGAACCTTCAGAAATTTTTTACACTTTGTTTCTATATGTGTATTTGTATTTCTCTGAGGGGAGGTTTTCATAAATTTATGGATTTGACTTGTTGATTTGTTGATATTGAATAGAATGTTAGGTAAGGAGCAGTGCTCAGTCAATACTTGCTTGTAGGGGTGCCTGGGTGGCTCAGTTGGTTAAACGTCTGACGTCAGTTCAGGGCATGATCTCACAGTTTGTGAGTTCGAGCGAAGGGGTCTGTGCTGACAACTCAGAGCCTGGAGCCTGCTTCCAATTCTCTGTCTCCTCTCTCTCTGCCCCTCCCCTGTTTGTGCTCTGCCTCTCTCTCTTTCTCTCAAAAATAAATAAATTAAAAATAAACACTTGCTTGTATAGCCTTTTATCCTGTAGCTAATCACATATGAATGTGTAGGAAACACACGAAAAAGGAAGTGAATCTTACGCACACCAAAGCAGAATCCAGGATATTTGGAATGCTAACAAGAAAACTACAATAGTGGGCGGCCGGTGTTGACAAGTGTATCAAATTGCTTAGTCATGTTAACTATTCAGGTTAAGCATCTTTAGTGATGGAGGGAATTCAGGGTGCAATTGCAGCTGAGAAGGGTTCACGATGATTACACAAAAGGTGGGCAGTGGAAAGGATTTGTGAGGAAACAGGTACGCAGTCAGCCTGGGTTGCTGGTAAGGTGAAGGAACAAGAACAGGAAGGAAGGTTTCCCACAGCAGTTTGCGTGTTACGAAAGAGTGCATGGCAGCTGCAAGAGATGATGAAACCCATTTTGTGTTCTAAGGACTCCTACAAGTTTCGTGTGGTTGATTGTAAATCCTGCTCAAGCCAGGACGACTCCAGTTTCTCTTGGGGCTTCTGCCCAGCTGGAGACATGGGCATGATGGGCCCTGCTTTGGGACACCTGGTAAATCTTATTGGGAGTTTCTCAGAACTATAAAGTAGGAGCATGGAGCTTGGAGAGTATCATTTTATTTCCCAGAAAATGCCAAAGCCTGCCTACGTGGGGTTTGCATGATGAATCCTTGTGCAATTGAGAACACATGTCTCACAGGTGCAGAAGTAGGTTTCTAGACCTTCTTGGCCTCTTTGCATCCAGCATACTTTGTTTTTGGCTCCTTCCCAAAATGACCACCTTTTTACTGCCTCCCCATTAAAAATAAGAACACTATGTCTTCCATATGTTCATTTTACACACTGGGATGAAAGTCAAGATCTATTCTATAGATTAGAGCTATTTATATGTTATTTCATTACTTCTTAGTGACAGGTAGTGACATAGTAAGCAGGCTACGTCTGAGGACCCAAAGGGGGTCTTATAGGACTGGAGGGTCCTTGGCTTTGTACGGGATACAAATCAAATATGAGCCGGGAAGAAGTGAGAGCAGAGTTTAATGAATAACCTAAGTGATAGCACAGAACAGATAGAATACCCCAGATGGAGTGTCTGGGAGGCTCAGAAAAGAAGTGAGTTTCTCCACTGCTTGGGATTAGGGCTTTATGTTGGAAAGGGGTCCAGGGCATGGGTTCCTTCACGAATCCAGGGTAGGGTCCAATCAAAGGTGAGTGTCAGGTGAACAATAGGTGTTATTCCACAAATCACCGAAGGAAGGGGCTATTGGCACCAGTGTCTGCTGAGATTTGTTCTTAAGATGCTATCAGGTATATGGGGGCCTAGGACGAAACTCAGAGAATGATTAACTTTCTTGTTTCCCCCTTGGAATGCAAACATAATAGCTTCTTTGGTTTACTCAGATAAAAGATGAAATATAAAACATGAGCAAATGGGCCTAGCAGACAAACAGCACAGATGGACCTTTTCTAAAATGGATCCCCTTTGGGGTACCTGGGTGGCTCAGTCGGTTGATCCTCAGACTTTGGCTCAGGTCATGATCTTATGGTTCATGAGTTCAAGCCCCACGTCAGGCTCTGTGCTGATGGCTCAGAGCCCGGAGCTTGCTTCAGATTCCATGTCTCCCTCTCTCTCTGCCCCTCCCTGGCTTGTACTCTGTCTCTCTCTCTCAAAAATAACTAAACATTAAAAAAAAATAAAAAAATAAAATAAATCGGATTCCCTTCAGTTCCCCCATCACATTAGAGTTACAAGTCTTAGCAGTAAGCTAGTTGTACTTACTGGACTCGTCTCTAAGGGCTTTTTCTATTTGTAGCATAGTGAGAAAGACCTATGCAGGACTAAAAATGAAAGATCTTTTATGGCAACTTAAAAAAACTTATTATCACCACTTATAGTACTTACAAGTTTTTCTGTAGCAAAATATTTTGATTCACAATCAGTTCTTAATCTTGGTAAAACTTACTGTTATCAATGTACTTCATGTGCCTGAAACATCTTCCTCACTAGCCAGTATCTTCCATATCATCTAAGAAATGCAAACCAGTTAGAATTTAACTTGAACAGAACATAATCTGGAGTCTGCCATTAAAGTAGTTATTATGCATTTTGAAGAAAAATCACTTATATGCTTTTAAGGATTATTAGTACATATGCTTATCAGTATATTTTAAAATCTTTTTAAAAAGGTTTATTTTTAAAACTTTTTCTTAAGGTTTATTTATTTTTGAGAGAGAATCAGAGCGCAAGCAGGGAAGGAGCAGATAGAGAGGGAGACAATGAATCCGAAGAATGCTCCAGGCTCTAAGCTGTCAGCATAGAGCCCGATGTAGGCCTCGAACCCACAAACTGCAAGATCATGACCTGAGCTGAAGTTGGACGCTTAACTGACTGAGCCACCCAGGCACCCCAACATTTATTTATTTTTGAAAAAGAGAGCAGGTGCGCATGGCACAGACAGAGATCGAGAATCCCAAGCAGGCTCCATACTGACAGCGCAGGGCACCCATGTGGGGCTCCATGTCAGGAACCATACAATCATGACCTTAGTTGGGTGCTTTACTGACAGAGCCACCCAAGTGGCTCCTCAGTATATTTTAAGCTTACATTTTTTCCCTGCACACTCAAGTCTCCATTCCTGTCATTTTCATTCAGTCCATCTTTTTCCACCTTTCAAGAATCCAGGAATCTTTACAGAAATAACTTGTTTCCCCATAAGTCACAAGAGTAGGAGAAAGATAGTGAAGAGACCCTAACTTCTATGCCATCAAAAGGCATTAAATAAGCATAAATTTTTCAAGAGGTGCCAACACTCATCAGGAAGAAGAAAAAAGTACGATGAAGGCTTTTGAGCAGCTTTTTATTACTTTATTATTCTGTGTAAGAATACTATCTTATAAGCCAATTGTAACATTATCCAGAACACAACATTTACATACTGTGAGAAATATTCTTTATGACACCTTCAGAAACAACTGCTACAAATTTACAACTCCTATTCGAAACCTGTTTGACCTGATATAGTTCAGAATTCAGAACTTTTATTAGAAAGGTGTGTCTGTCATATATTTTGCGACACCTTCAGCAAGGGCTGGAGCTGCACCATAATCACCCACATTAACAGTTCTGTAGGAAATTTAGGAATATTCAAACCAAGTGAATATTCAGTTATACATAGCTTCAGTTCCATTCACTTCAGATTTAACTACCAGGGAGTTAAGAAAGACAGATAAAGGATTGAGACCTGCATTGATATGTTAATTAGAAACCCAGTTCTTTATATTGGATATTTAGTTCAGAGCCAGGGTAAAAGATTGGTCTTTGCTTCCACACAAATGAAACAATGTATTTAAAATGAAAATTCGAACAGTATATTTTGTTTCAGGAGGTAAATGTAAAATAGACTGGCCTGTTTAACGAAGTTAATCACATTGTGATCTTCTTGAACTCGTCTAGCTCCATTTTGGTTGAAAACTCTTATTTTTTAGCGCAATAGTAAAAAAAACATCAGATCAACCCCAAGCTTGCAGGGTAAGCATCCCTTGGGGCTTCACCGACCTTGGGCATCATTAAGAATTGTAGACGGGTAGGGAAGCCAGGGATGCCGCAGAGTGCTTGAAGCATTATCTTCGCTGGGCAAACTTCAGTCTCAGTGGATAGAGAAAGAGATTAAGCAGATAATCTGTGTGGTCACTACTGTCTTGCCAAGACACAGGGTGAACAAGATTCCTTTAAAAAGCAATGGTATAACTTATTGCTTGAGGGTTGCAAAAAGAGTCGCACTGGTAAGGGGAAGAAGGAGCGGCTGGCAAGACAGAGCTGGGGCTAGAAGAGGCAGGTAAACAGGGCGCCGAGTCTTGCACAAACTGGACCAAGATGAGTCTGAGGCATCAGTTACTACGCCCGTCCCAGGGTTGTGTACCTGCGTAGGCGGAGGGCTGCCTGCCCGGAGTCTCCCGCTGTATCCCTGGCCCGGGCGCTGGGCTCCACCTGCTGAAAGCAGTCAACCGCTGTCCAGCAGGGCTGGGGCCGTTTCTCGGGCGTCGGGGAAGCCCCTCCCAGCCCCGCAGCCTGGAACCCAGCCTCCGGCAGAGGACGCCCGAGTGAGATTGGGCTGGGTCCTATCAGAGCGCAGGCCCGGCTCGTCCCAGGCTTCAAGTACGGGGCGGCACCCTCGCGGCTTTCCATCCAATCTTCGTTCGCCGGTGCCTGCGGGGCGGGACCCTCGCGGCTTTCCGTTTAATTCCTGCTCCTCGGGGGCCGCGGGGGAGCGGGCCAGCGCGGCTGTGGGCCGCGGCCGAGGAGGTGAAGGGCAAGCGGTGAGGACCAGTAGGCCCGATGGGGCAGCGCTCCCTCTCTCCCCCAGCCCGTGGAGATGGTGGGGAAAAGTTAAGTTGCGTAGAACATAGTTCCATAGCGTAGAACGGCGGAAGTGCCCGGACTCGGCGGGAGTGTCGTGTAGCCAGGCAGCTCGCCTGCCGCGGTCGTAGACGTACCCCCGAGGTTGGGCCGCCGGGCGGTGCCGTAGCGCTGCTTATTTGGATTTCTCTCATTTGGTGTCCTCTTGAGTGTGCAGAGCAACTTTTGGTGTGGTGGGAGAAGTCTGAGCTCTCCTCGCTCTGCACTTCTGTATCTACAGCCAAGCTTTAAGCTTGTCGCCCTGCGTTTGGGCGGGGGCCCCAGATACCGGGCACCGGGAGCACTTTGTCTCTTGAGTGTGGTTGTCCAAAACCTGGTGAATCCCGTAACAATTGTTCGCCAGCTGTCTCGTAGATGGGCTCTTTTGAGTGCGTGCTCTGATTCCCAACAGTTTTAAGTCTTAGGGCTTCATAGTCTGCAGATTTCTTGTCTTCCATTTTCTTAAGCCAGTTTTTGGTAAAAATTTCCATTACCCCCCCCCCCCCCCCCCCCGTCCCCGGCGGTTGTCACGCTAGTTTCTTGCTTCCCACAGTCACCAGCCTAGTTCAAACCCCTGTGTTCTCAAACAGGATGGTTGCAGCGGCCTCCTGGAAGTCCTAAACAGTTCATCTTGGTGTACCGGTATGTGACTATTTTTTTACTTGCTGTTCCCGATTCTCTTTTCCAATCTGTGTTTACATTTTATTGCCCCCAGGAAGCGATCCTGTAATTAAATCCAGTGTCATGATTTTTCTTAGTGCGTATGTAGGTTCTTTTAGACTTCATCTTTGTAGTTGAACATTCAAAACAGTCCTTGCTGAAAAAATCTAATTCATATTTTCACTGTGTACATTTTGGTGAGTTAAGACCATATAGGTATGGGATTGGTAGTCTTGGTATCATTTTTCTAGCGTCCATTAAGTACTAAGGGAGGTAAGTATACAGAGAATAGCTTATCTTTTCTACGTATGTGTATTAGATTCTTATTGCTGCCATAACAATTTACCATAAACTTAATTAAAAAAACAAAACAAACCACACAAAATCACAAAGTGGTTATCTCACAGCTTCTATAGGTCTGAAGTCCATGTAGTTTCAGCTGGGTACTCTGCTTAGCACCTCACAAAGCTGAAATAAAGGTTTCTGTAGTCCTGGGCTCTGGTCTGGAGGCCCTGAGGAAGAATCCACCTCTAGGCTAAGTGAAGGTGCAGAATTTATTTTCTTGCAGGTGTAGTAGGGCCGAGGACCCGATTTCCTTCCTAGGCTCCAGCTGGGGGCTTTGTCAGTTCCGTAAGACCACCTGTATGTTCATTGCCAGACAGCACCTTCAATCCTTTTCATGCTCTTAATCCCCCTGACTCATCTACAGCCAACTGTTGGAGTAAGCTTTCTGCTCTTGAGGGCTCAAATGATTAGACCCACCTGGATAATCTAAGGTCACCTGTGCTGTGTAAGACAACGTGATCACAGTCATGGAAGTGATGATCTCGTTATATTCACAGGTTCTGGAGAGTGTAGGGGTGAAATCATGGGAGCCATTCCTAGAAATTCTGCCTAGCATAACATGGTTGTCTCAACTAGATTGCTTTATTTTAACTTTTTTTATTTGTTTTATTTTTTTAAACACTTTTTTAAATGTTTATTTATTCTTTGAGAGAGAGAGAGAGACAGCACATAAGCAGAAGAGGGGCAGAGAGACAAGAGGCCCAGAATCTGAAGAAGACTCCAGGCTCTGAGCTGTCAGCACAGAGCCCAACACGGGGCTCGAACTCACGAACGGGCAGATCATGCCCTGAGCTAAAGTCGGATGCTTAACCAACTGAGCCACTCAGATGCCCCAGATTGCTTTATTTTTATGATGTGTGTTTTTTTGTTTTTTATTTTAAGTTTATTTAGAGATTGTGTGCCAGCAAGGGAGGGGAAGAGAGAGAGAAAGAGAGAATATCCTAAGCAGATTTCTTGGTGTCTATGCAGAGCCCGACAAGGGGCTTGAACCCACGAATTGTGAGACCATGATCTGAGCCGAAATCAAGAATCGGACTCTTAACCGACTGAGCCACCTAGGCGCTCCTGTGACGTGTTTTTGCAGTCATTTAAAAACAATCCTGGAGGCACCTGGCTGGCTCTGTAGAACATCTGACTCTTGATCCTAGAGTTGCAAGTTCAAGCCCCAATTGGGTATGGAGCCTATTTAAGAATGATAATAAAAATAAATAAAACAATCCTAACAACAACTCTTTCTGATTGTATGATTATCCTCTCTACAGATAAGGGAATTTGGTTCAAGTCAGTTGACCAGAGGCTCATGACTAGAAAGTGGTAGAGTTGGCATATGGACCCATGCCTACATTTCCGTTAAGTCTAAAGCTAATGTTGGTGGATGGTCAAAATAAAGTGCAAAGTCATTAGATAGCAAGAAGCTATTAAATGGGAGGTCTTTGTTGTACCTTCTGGAGTGTATCTTTTTATTAGTGCTGTAGGTTGAACTGTTCTATCCTAACAAAGCTCGATGACATGAATGACACTGTTTTCCCATACATCTAGAGGGTGGAGGCTAGGGGTAATAGGAAGATTCTGACAACCTCAATACATGGTGTCTGTAAGCAGTTGAGGTGTCTGTAAGGTGCTGCTTCCGTTGGTCATACCTGTTAGTGAGGAGAGAAAGCACAGGGAGAACACATGTAGTTAGTCCTTTATAGGGGCATGACCTGGAGGTGACACATTACAAAGTCATACTGAGCTCCAAGGCAGGGTAGGAGATAAAGCTGTGTGGCTTTATACCCAGTTGAAAGTCAGGATTCTGTTAAGAAAAAAAAAAAAAAGGAAACAGTTAATATTGGCTGATAACAGTCTCTGCCACACCCTTGCTTTTGATAATGTTTTATTCTTTAACCTATGAGTGGAATATTTTATTTGGTTTGCTATCAGTTTTAATTTAAAAAGATTTGAAAACACAGATAATTCTTAAGGTTCCTTGATTTCTCAGTTGCTATTAAAGACTTTGAGAAACTTAGTTTTCCTTTTAACATTTGTATACCTCATTCACATTTTGGGTTAGTTTGATTTCTCTGATGAAAATTAATTGTTCAAGATTGCTGGGGATACTTGAAGTCATTCTGGGTAGGCTTCAAACCATCTGTATGCGGTTACAACAGCTTGTCGTATGATTGATGAATTCTGTAATATTCTACAAGTCCACAGCTGGATGAATCTTCTGCTTTTCATACTAGGCTCTTGGGAGTGCTCACCTTCCACCCAGCATAACTTGCTACACATCTGAATTTTCCCTACCCATTTAGAGCTCCTGTGGGTTCTCTTACCCGCTCTCTAGTAGCTTTTGTTTAAGGGGAAGATTGGAATCAAACAGATCTTGACCTTACTAGAGTTGGTAAATTGTCTTTTGAATTTTGGTTTCTTGGTATATAAAATGTCAGTGAATGCCAAAAGGCAGAGATAATAGGAAGATTAGATAAGGTCTTCTATGATACCGTAGTACTTGGTAAATAGTAGGTACTGACTCTGAGCTCCAGCTCTTGGAATCTACATGTTTTTTTGTTTTTGTTTTTTTTGTTTTTTAATTGATTTTCTCACTCTGACAAGTTTATGACTTCTGTAAGGACTAGAACAAAGTTCTGTATATATTGTGGTCTCTAGATAATGATTTATTGCATTGGAACTAGCATATATAAGAATATTTATGAGATTGAAATTGTGAGGGCTTTTTTCTTTAGTTTTCCTGTTGTGATTGCATCATGGAAAATCAGTTGGCTAAATCAACTGAAGAACGAACATTTCAATACCAGGATTCTCTTCCATCTCTGCCTGTTCCTTCACTTGAAGAATCATTAAAAAAATACCTTGAATCAGGTATGTATGTTTGTAATTTTTTCGTATGTATTATATTATTAGTAATGTAGGAAACTATGAAATTACTAGAAGTTGATGGGGGTGTAATTGTTTTTTCCTTGAGACTCATGGTAATGTATCCTTAAAATGTGCAGAACTTTTTTGTCTTTATTTCTCAAGTTACTTTTTCCATAGTTTGAAAAGCCAGATAGTATTTTTAGGTTTATAATAAAAAGTAGCAGGCCTCTGCCTCATTCTCTACTCCCACCCCCAAATCCCACTCCCTCAGGCAAGCATTTTCAAACATTTTCTCAGTTTTTTGATATTGTTTATCTCCAGATATTTTTTATCTCCAGATTTAAAGTAACATTTTTATACTACTATTTTTTTTTTTTTTTTTTAGTTTTAGATATTATAAATTTGTTGGTAAAAAGATGTGGATTTAGCTCTTCCACACCTTTTACTTTTCCACTCTTCACGCTCAGCATATATGCAATCCAACATATCCACATTTTCCTTTTCATTCTCTCAATATAGTTGTACAGAATCACCATTTGGGATTAAATGATTAAAATTAGTATTCACTTGATGGAACTCCAGGTTTTACCTCATTTAAATCAGTATGTACCTGTGTTACTTTACCTGATCATTTAGGGTTTATGATTATGCAGTTAATCACACTGTGCTTCGGTTACCTTTTTGCTGGTTTTTTGTTTTATTTTGCCTCATTTTTCATTTGCTTACTTTGTATCCTTAACTAATTCACTCCCAAACACTTCAATACACTGAAAACCCTTATGTACATTATATATGATACATATATGTGTATGTACCTGTACATATATTAAACACATAAGCTATTCTCTGAGTTTCATTTCTTGGAGACATCCCTCCTAGGGCCCTCTGCCCTCTTCCTTCAATCAGCATACTTTTCTTAAGTTGGCTGATAGCTGTCCTCTGGGGACTTTCTTTCCCCCATTATCCTAGCAGTTTGCTTCACCTCTCCCTCCTTTACTGGATTCTCTGGTTCCTGTCTTTCTTTTTCTTCCTCTTTTCACTTATATTTGTGAAGTATATCTTTAGTAGCTACTTGAGAAAAGAATTTCTGGGAAAAAAATAATGTGAGACCTAAAAATTTATTCTACCCTCATATCTGATTGTTTGGCTGAATATAGAATATTCTGGGTTGGAAATGATTTTTCTTAGGAGTTTTAAAGGTACTGTCTGTTCTCTTGAGAGGTCTAATGCCATTCTGTTTGATCCTTCATATGTGGCTTGTTTTTTACTTTACAGATGTGTTTGGAAACCTTTTTATCCCTACCATTTTGATTGTTTCCATGTCCCTTAGTGTGTAGATTTTTTTTTTTCTCATTTATTTCTCTGAATACACAGTAGGTTCTTTTAAGTTGAAAAATTCAAGTTACTCAGTTCGAGGAAATTTGAAAAATAGTGTTTCTTGAATAGTTTTCTCCTTTGTTTTCCCTCTCTTTCTGGAATTCCTAGTAATTGGATCTGGGGCATTCTGGACTAAGCTTTTAATTAAAAAATGATTTCCCTTATTATTAGTGCCTTTCCCTTCCTGGGAAAGGGTCTGTTTATTGTTTGGGACCACCAATCCTATTTTTGCTTATTCTGCCTTTGACTGTCATGTAAGAGGCTTTCCTCAAATATCAGAAAATCTGTAGTCTTCATATTTTAGAGTTAGACCCTAAAAAGCCGATTGGAAGCTCTATATGTGTGGGTAGGGATTTGGTGACCAGTGGGCCTTCTAGTGACTCTTGTTGCAGAGATCTAGCAGTTCCAATGGGACCATGCCCAGATCTAAGTAATAATTTTTCTTGGACTGATCTGTTTCCCCAAAGAGTCCTCTTTTGTTTAGAAGGCATGAGCCTGATTTCTAGTGTTTTGGGAACTAAGTAGGGGAAGGAGGCTGGAGGGGTCATTGTTCTGGGTGTACCCTTTCATCATGATTTCTTTTTTTCAATATGACTTAGAAGCCATGTATTCTGCTTGTCAATTTTTCCTAAGAATAAACCTCTAGATTTCCGCTGGCATTGGTAGGAAGTTGCCTGGCTTTCTAGAGTGGAGAAAGATCTACAGGAGACCTGTTTTCAGCCACTTTTTGCCCCCCCTTTGAAAGTCCATTTGCCTAGAATTCTTGAATCTTTCTGGGATTCTACTGCAGGAATTGACTTGCTTCTTGGTTTGCACCTAACCTTAACCTTGTATCTTCCTCCCTTCCGCTGTCTAGGCTTTAGACAGGCTTTCTCCATTCTACAAAGTCCCCATTTTCTCATGTGTTTTCTATTTTGTAGAATGTTAGCCTAACTGGTCTGCTGTCCTCTCCTTCCATATTCTTGGTCCTTATAGGTTTTTGCCTTTTTAATTACTGTGATTTTACTGAATTCTAGGAGGTTTGGAGATAAATGTATGCATTTGGTTCAATTTCTTGAACTGAAAGCCCTTGATGTTCTTTAAATTTCTTCTTTTCTCTTTTTCCTCAGGTACTTTTATCTGGGAATTCAAGTTTCTTTTGTAAAAATTTTAATGATTATTCACTGTTTTTGATTATACATTTCACTTGGACTGTTTCTAAATACAGCTGTTTAAATTGACTTTAAGATAGTACTTGGAAGAGACAGAATCATAAAAAAGGAAGATATTAATGTCCTTTGATTGCTAATTTGCTTTTCTCGGTAGCAAATTTTCAGAACAATTGGTTTTCATTTTCATGGACTAAAATCCTGTATTTTATTTGTTTTTGTTTTGTGTGTGTGTGTGTACACACAGTTTGGAACAGTTTGGAAGGAAACTGTTATTGGCTCTGGCTCTGGGCTGGAGGCAGGCTTTACACTTAAATTTACATACATATTGCACTTACATACATGATGTTCAGGGCTCTGCTTGAACATTAGTGGAAAGAAATTTTAATTTCTCTTATTCATGGCTAAACAGGATTAACTTTTCTGTTGGACTAATAGCTAGATGATAGTTCTATCTTTATCTTTTTAATTCTCATCATCCAGAATAATTTTAAAATAATTTTTCAGAAAAAGGTTATCAGAATACCCAGTATCCACTGTTTTATTTTTCACCTCGTTTTGCATTGTTGCTTTTCAGCTATTTTTATGTTGTAAACTCTGGCATAATTTATCGGACTGCTGTGATAATTAATGCATTTATAGTTGTTTTACATAATTAAGTCTCAAGATTTATGTAATAATGTGAGTTTATGGTACTTGATGTCTAAGTATTTTAATGCATGTTTTATCTTTATAGTAAAGCCATTTGCAAATACAGAAGAATATAAAAAAACTGAAGAAATTGTCCAAAAATTTCAAGATGGTATTGGAAGAAAATTGCACCAGAAATTACTTGAAAGGGCAAAAGGAAAAAGAAATTGGGTATTTCTGTTATTGTACTTATAATTAGAAAATTGATGATGCTTGAATGAGAAATAAAAATGTTTTATTTAAATAGCTTTCAATTTAAAATTATTAGTGTAAATATCCTTGCAGTCGTTGTTGTAATCATCCAGAAGAATGAGGGAATTGCTTAACTCTAGGGAGTTTTAAGTGTTGTGTGTGAACTTTTCTTTTACCACATGGAGAACTTGTTAAAATGCAGACTTCCTGGGACCAGTGATTCTGATTCAGTATCTCTGGAATGGGGGCCCAGAAGTCCTTATTTTAACTTTCCATGTGGTCCTGGTGGAGGTGATCTGCAGACCCTGCTTTGAGAGAAACATTTTGTTCAGGTAATCCTAGCCTGAAAAAAATAGACATGCCACATAGGTGGCATACAAATACTTAAACATTGCATGGGAGAGAAAGGGCCATTACAAAGTTGGAGTGGAGAATGGTTTTGAGTATTATATGTTGGAATTAGATAGATTGGGAGATGTTGATACAGTCATTACTGAGGCAGTGCATAATTTTCTTTAAGGAATCTTGGGCTTCTTCAGCTTAACTACTCTGCTTCTGTAGTGTGAACCAGAGGTTAGGTTTTTGTAATTTAAAAAAATTGCCAGGGTGCCTGGGTGGTTCAGTCGGTTAAGCTTCTGGCTTTGGCTCAGGTTGTGATCTCGCAGTTTGTGGGTTTGAGCCCTGTATTGGGCTTTGTGCTGACAGCTGAGAACCTGGAGCCTGCTTGAAATTCTGTGGCTCTCTCTCTTTCTGCCCCTCAATGACTCGTGCTCTCTCTCTCATAAACATCAAAACAAAATTGCCTTAATCTAGAAATAATGATTGTAACTGTATTTAAGCTTTAGAAATAAAAAGCAAGTTGATCTTTCCATTAGTCATTGATAACTATGAAGGAGTAATAGAATTTTATACTTTGAGATTTCTTTCTTCGCAGTCTTGAGACTTGAGCAATTTTAATTGAATCAGGGTAAGGTAAGAAGTCTGTATCCTTTTTGGCTACTTCCTTTTCTGAATGATTATAGTTTATAACATCCATTTCTTAAAAATAACTCCAGATAATTTGATGAGATCTGCATATCTGCCTGAAATTTAGTTGCATATTATAAAAGAAGGACACAGAAAGCACTGAAAATTCTAAATTAGTTTTATGTGTACTGAAAAGGTTTCATATTTCTGATTTAGCACTGCAGTTTTTGCTTGGAAAAGGAAAATTGCAAATGTCTTACTAGTTGTTATAATTGAGGATTTGTTAAATATTTATTATACCCAAAGTACTCTGGGAAGACTCACCTAAGGACTTTGGTGTTCTGACTTCAGTATGATCTATCTGAAGGTGCCTTTTCAGTGCTTTCTTGTTGCCTGTTTTTGGTAATGTAATTATAATTAAGATCCTATAGTTCCAGAAGAAAGAAATGATCATAACACCATTTTTCAATATCTGTGATAATTTAAAACAAGAAAGTGTGTTTTTATTTTTTATCATTTTTTTAAAAAGAGCTTACTGAGGTAAAATTGACTTAAAGTCCATTGTCTGTGTACAATTTGATGTGGGTAAGTAAATGTGTTTTTAAGTGTTAAAGAGTAAAGAGAAAAGAACAAATACAGTTTTTGTTTTTTTGGTTTTCTTTGGCAGCAATTATACATTCAAGTATACCCAATTGCATTAGGCTGAAGTTCTTAATTTCTTTTAGCTGGAAGAATGGTGGCTGAATGTTGCCTATCTGGATGCTCGTTTACCGTCACAATTGAATGTCAATTTTGCTGGTCCTGCACCTTATATTGAACACTACTGGCCTCCAAAGGAAGGGACTCAGTTGGAAAGAGGAAGTATAAGTCTTTGGCACAACTTGAACTACTGGCAGCTATTAAGAAAGTAAGGACAGTTATGTGAATTTAGTAACAGGTTTACCTACAGTTTTAGGTGGCAAAATGTTGAGAAGCTGAATTTTAGTTATTCAAGGATACTATAGTTGTGACTACTTGTTTTACAAGTGTTATAAAGACTCGTTGACCAAAAAACTTTTTTTTTGTTTGTTTTAATAGGGAAAAAGTGCCTGTTCATAAAGTTGGAAATAATCCTCTAGATATGGATCAATTCCGAATGGTGTTTTCCACATGCAAGATTCCAGGGATTACTAGAGATTCAATTATGAATTATTTTAGGACTGGTAAGTAGAAAACATGGGTACTTTTTTGGTTAAGTCATTAGGATTTGGATAGTTGTGTTGTGGTTTCTACTCTGATGCTGTGGATGACTAATTGGAGGCTTTCTGTGAACCTTTTAGTTGTAAGTAATTTATGGGAATGGGTTTTTTTTTTTTTTTTTTAATGCTTATTTATTTTGAGAGAGAGAGGGGCACAGAGGGAGGGGATAGAGAGAATCCCAAGCTGGCTTCTTGCTGCCAGCCCAGAGCTTGACATGGGGCGTGAACTCACCAATTGTGAGATCATGACCTGAGCTGAAATCAAGAGTTGGATGTTAAACCAACTGAGCCACCCAGATGCCCTGGGAATGGATTTTATAAAATGTGTCTTACCTAGTTCTATATAAAAGCTGGTGCTTACGTTGCATCATTTCAGTATTTAAATTTTAAAGAATATTATCAATTAGAATATTGGGAAATCTGGAGCATATGATTTGGATCTTTCTGTCTCTACCCTCTTACTTGAATTTTCTTTTTGAGTGTTTGCTTATATATGGTTATTATGCCCCATTTCTCTGTGAGTATGCCCTTCCTTCCACTCCCAGCCTTTTGAAGTGAGAGCCTGGTGTCAGTCTTCTTGAAGGCATATGAGTTCAGATTGACTCACCAAAGTTTTTGTTTTTACTGTCCGCTTAATGGTAAATTCTGCTTGGTGTCCTAGCATATCTCAAAATGGAAAATTCTATTGTAGTAACTATTTGTTTTTGGTTATTTCAGGATCTTTTTCTTTTTTATATATTTAATAACATAGTTTATAGTTACTGCAGAATGTAACTATGAAAGGATATTTTTCTTACCTGAAATTTTGTTTAAAAGTAAAATTTCTTTGCCAGTTTTGCTTGTAGTGTGAGGAATATGAGTTTACTTTCATAAACTCCTCTTTGTAAACCTCATTAGATGCTTGAGATATTTAATGTCCTCAGGCCCACACACATTTATCTTGATGTTGCAAGTGAAAAACCTGGTTACTTAGGGCATAAAGTTTAATGCCCAAACATGAATGGAAAAAATGAACAGGAGAAAATGGAATAGCTGTAGCAAAGAGAGAAATATGCGTATCGGTTAAGAACTCCAATCAGTCAACCTGGTTTTCAGGTTCAATCTTTATTATTTCATAGGTATGTTCTAAGATAGATAAAATAATCCTTTAAGGTACAGCATGTATTGCGAGTTAAAGTGTGGGATTGTGATGCTTCCAGCTTTGGTTTTCTTTTTCAACATTACTTTGGCTATTTGGGGTCTTTTGTGGTTCCATAGAAATTTTAGGATTGTTTTAACTCTGTGAAGAATGCTGGTGCTATTTTGATAAGGATTGCATTGAGTGTGTAGATTGCTTTGGATAGTTTCGACATTTTAACAATATTCTTCTAATCTATGAGCATGAAATGTTCTTTGATTTCTTAGTGTCGTCTTCAATTTCTTTCATAAGCTTTGAATAGTTTTCAGCATACAGGTCTTTACCTCTTTGGTTAGGTTTATTGCTAGGTATTTTATGGTGTTTGGGCATGTAAAATGCAGTCACTAATTTAACAATGTGCCTCTTAATACAGTCCTTCAAGCTATCATAAACTATATTCTTATACTTACAGCCATGCAAAGAGGTATAGTTAGGGATAAAGCTGAGGTAATAAGTAAACAAATAACAGAGTTGGTGATAAATACTGTATAGAGAATTCAAATAATGGGTAAGCAGGTGGCTGTTTAGTCAGGGAAAGCATCTCTGAGGATATGAATAAGATGTTACAGCAGTTTTTTGTCTTTTTATTTTTGATTGGTTCATATTGTTTTTGTGTTGAGGGAAGAAATCCCCTGGGCATGAATAAATTTGGCATGTTTGAAGGGAAATATGGATGGAGCTCACTAGGCCACGGGGAGGTGGCCGACTGGAGTGGTGACTAGAGGCTGGATCATATGGTAATTTGGAAGCCAACTCGTGGATTTAGATTTTATTTAAAATGTGAATAAGATAGTATTAGTGAGTTTTGAGGAGGAAAGTGATGTGATCAGGTTTATGTTTTGAAAAGATGATTGTACCTGCTGTTTGAAGATTAAGATTTTTAGGAAACAGACAGTGGTAGAAGCGGGGAGATCAGTTAGAAAATAGTTTTAGTAGTTCTAGTGAGCTACAATAATGACTTGTACTAGCGTAATAATATGGAACTGATAAAAAGTTCTGTAGATTCTGGATATATTTTGGTTTTGGGTTTAGCAGAATTATTCATAGATTGGTTATGAGATGTAAGAAAAAAAAGGGGAATCAGATGACTTCAAGGTATTTGGCTTAAGAAATGGGGTAGATAGGTGTGTTGGTTGATGAGGTGGGAAAAATTGGGACGAAATATTCAGGGAGGAAATTAAGAGGTCCCTTAGGCTATGTTGAGTTTAAGATGCCTTTTAGACATCTGAAGTGGAAATGCAAGTAGATAGTTGGATGCAAAGTTTGGGCTGGGGGAGCAGTTTCAGTGCTGCACCAAGAGATTTAGGAATCAATATTAGCAGGCATAGAAAACATTTTAAAGCCCTAAGAGTAGCTTTTGTAACACATAAAGAGGAAGATTATCAAGTGAACAAATAATGATGCTTAGCACAATTAAATATGGTATTTGGTGGTCTGAAGAGTCGAACACAGCAAAAGAGACTAAAGTGGGAAGGAAGCAAGGACAGTGGTCTCCTGGAAGCCAAGAGGAGGAAGTGTTGTACTGAATGCTCCGAAGGTCAACTGAGATAAAATTTAAAAGTGACCAAATTATTTGTCAACATGACATGGACCGGCTGCCCTCAACAAGAGCAGTCTTAGTGGAAGTTGGGGAAGGGAGCTCGACTGGAGAAGATGAAAGGAAGCCAAGTAAGTAGTGACAACATAGAAATAATCCTTACGGAAGAAGTTTTGATGTACAGTGGGAAATACTTTATTTTTTTTTTAAATGGGTACTATTGTATAACAAAGAGAAATAAAAGGCATCCAAATTGGCAAGGAAGAAGTCAAACTTCCACTATTTGCAGATGACATGGTACTGTATGTAGAAAACTCAACAGATGCCACCAAAAAATTGTTAGAACTAATACATGAATTCAGCACAATCACAGGATATAAAATCAACATGCAGAAATCTGTTGCATTTCTATACACCAGTAACAAAGTAGCAGAAAAAGAAATCAAGGAATTGATCCCATTTGCAATTACATCAAAAAACATATAAGATGCCTAGGAATAAACCTAACTAAAGAAGTACTCTTAAAACTATTCAACACTTGGGAAAGAAATTGAAGAGCACACTGAGAAATCGAAAAGCATTCCATGGTCATTGAAGAACAAAACATTGTTAAAATGTCTATACTACCCAAAGGGATCTATACATTTAATGCAATCCCAATCAAAATACCACTAGCATTTTTTGCAGAGCTAGAACAATCCTAAAATTTGTACGGAACCACAAAAGACCCCGAATTGTCCAAGCAATCCTAAAAAAGAAAAGACTGGAGGCATCATAATTCTGATTTCAAGCTATATTACAAAGCTGTAGTCATCAAGACACTATTGTTACTGGCACAAAAAGAGACACAAAGATCAATGGAACAGAATAGAAAACCCAGAAATGGACCCACAACTACATGGTCAACTCCTCTTCAACAAAGCAGGAAAGAATATCCAATGGAAAAAAGATAGTCCCTTCAACAAATGGTGTTGGGAAAACTGGACAGTGACATGTGGAAGAATGAAGCTTAGACCACTTTCTTACATCATACACAAAAGTAAATTCAAAAAGGATGAAAGACCTAAATATGAGACATGAAACCATCAAAATCCTAGAGGAGATCACAGGTAGCAACCTCTTTGACCTTGGCAACAGCAACTTCTTACTAGACACGTTGCTGGAGGCAAGGGGGAAAAAAAGCAAATGTGAACTGTTTCATCAAGATGAAAAGCTTCTGTACAGTGAAGGAAGCAATCAAAACTAAAAGGTAACTTATGGAATAGGAGAAGATATTTGCAAATGACGTATCAGATAAAGTCTATAAAGAACTTGCCAAACTCAACACCCAAAAAACAATCCACTGAAGAAATGGGCAGAAGACATGAATAGACACTTTTCCAAAGAAGACATCCAAATGGTTAACAGACACATAAAAAGATACTCAACATCACTCATCAGGGAACTACACATCAAAACCACAATGAGATAACCACCTCATACCTGTCAGAATGGCTAAAATTAACAACACAAGAAACAACAGGCATTGACAAGGATGCAGAGAAAGGGGAAACCTCTTGAACTGTGAGTGGGAATATAAACTGGTGCAGCCGCTCTGGAGAACAGTATGTAGGTTCCTCAAAAAACTAGTAATAGAACTACCCTATCATCTAGCAATTGGACTATTAGGTATTTACCCAAAGGATACAAAAGTACAGATTCAGAGGGGTCCACAGACCCCAGTGTTTATAGCAGCATTATCCACAATAGTCAAACTATGTGTGTATGCATATATATGTGTATATGCATGTACACATATGTATACACACATACACCCACACAACGGAATATTAGGCATCAAAAAGAATGAAATCTTGCCATTTGAAATGACATGGAGGAAACTAGAATGTATTAGGCTAAACAAAACAACTCAATTAGAGAAACCATATGATTTCGCTCTTATGTGGAATTTAAGAAACCAAACATGACCATATGAGAAGAGGAGGTTGGAAAGAGGGAGAGAGGAAAACACCACAGGAGACTCTTAATGATAGAGAACAAACTGAGGCTGATGGAGGGAGGTGGGTGGGAGATGGGCTTAGATTGGTGATGGGTATTAAGGAGGGCAGTTGTGATGAGGACTGGGAGTTGTATGTGAGCGATGAATCACTGAATTCTGCTGAAACCAATACTGCACTAGATGTTGGCTAGCTAAAATTTAAATAAAAATGAGTGCTATTACATCATGAGATTGACATAGGAGAGAAAGAACAATGATCTTACAGGGGTAAGAATAAACAGCCAGAGTCTTTGAAAAGATAAGAGCTGAGAGGGTCAAAAAAGTAGAAATGGTGGAGGGGTTGGTCTTTGACAAGAGCAATGATGAGAGGGAATGCAGAAAGTGTGCATCTAGATGCAGACATAATTGACCAATTTTGTTGTGGGAAGATGAGGAGGTCCTATGAATTCCTTGTGTTTTCATTGGTGAAATGAGAACTGAGGTCATCACCTGGGGTAGAAGATTTGAGGAGAAAGGAGATGGTGTGAAATACTAGTCATTTTTGGAAAGTGGGAGAAACACATTTGCTATGGAAATGTAGGGTAGCTGATCAGTGTTGAGTGCCCATTTGAAATGGTGTTTACGAATTTAAAATTGGATGATATATTCTTTTTTTTTTCCTACAACAATCAAGCAGGTGCAGAAAGAGAAAGTGGAAGATTTAAGTGTTTTGGAAGAGAGAAATTAAAATGGGTCATGGAATCTATCTTGGAGACAGAGAAAATTGAAGAAATGATGTATGTGGAGGCAGCCTGTAAGCTGCTGTGGCTCAAAGGATGGTGTCAATAAGGAGGCAATAGTTAGAACTATTTTTATTTTTACTTCCTCCTTAAGAGACCATTAACACTAATTCTGTCATGCCTTTTGCCCTGTTTACCTCATTTTGCCTAGAAGTTCAGACTTCTCAGATCATAGCCTGTCCTCTGGATTCGTGGATTTGTGCATAGCCTAATTTGATCTACGTTCCTTACTACTGTGACCCACTCCTTTCCTTTTCCAGACTCTTCTGTACTTCCTGAAGCACACAGTCAGCAAAATCCTTTATATCTTCAACCTTTTCTCTGAAAGTTCCTGTTTACTTTGAAGGGTTCTGTTACTGAACCTGGTTATTCTTTGAGCTTACTGCGTTCCCTATAACCATCTCAAGTGGGTATATTTTCTCTCATACTTTGGTACTAGAAGAAAGGTAGGAGATGTTGTATGCTCTTTATCTCCTGTTATTCTTTCCACTTTCCCTTCTTCCTTACAGTTTGAGCTCTGGAAAAAAGGAAAGCTATCAGGTGAGATCCCCAGAGCTTGTCATGATTGCAGTGACTTTGTTTTTGACCATTCCCCTTTGTTCATTGATTGGTATAGCACCAGGCTCCCTGCATTTCTTTCCATTACTACCTCAGTCACATCCTTGATGACTTGAACTTCCAATTGTTGATAATCTGTGACTTCTGCTTTCCTTCACTTTCTTCCTCTAGTAATCTGCACCTCCATTCCTTCTCAAGGAGCCACATACTCCTGTGGTCATGCCCTAGACCTTGTTATCAAAAACTCCATCTCCAATTTCGATGCTGCATGGTAATTATAAGCATCTCACTCTGATCTCCACCTTGTCTTCACAACTCCCTTCCTTTGGGAGTCTACCTTAGCTGTTTCTTTGATCACATTGTGACTTAAATGCAGTTATTCTACAGTTCTTCACAGTTCCATTCCTGCCACCTCCACTGTAATCACTCCTTTGCATACACATTCAAATCTTTGCCCACCCCCCCTTCCCCACTCCACCCACCCCTCATCACTGTTTAATTATAATCTTCTCTCTTACCTCTACATATTACCATAGCAATTTCCTTGGCTTGAGAAAACTTAATTTTCTCAGTTAAACCTCAAATGGACCCACAGCATACCTTGCCATATATATATATTTTTTAATGTTTGTTTATTTTTGAGAGAGAGAGAGAAACAGAGCATGATGGGGAAGGGGCAGAGAGAGAGGGAGACACAGAATTAGAAGCAGGCTCCAGGCTGTCAGCACAGAGCCCGATGTGGGGCTCGAACTCACAAACTGTGAGATCATGACTTGAGCCAAAGTCGGATGCTTAACCGACTGAGCCACCCAGGTGCCCCGATCTTGCCATATATTTTTGTCAGGTTATTCTCTCTCTTCCAGAAAGACTGTCTCATGGTTTTCTTTATTCTCAGCTAATGAACTCTTATTCTCAATAAATGTAAAGCAGTCTTTCCATCACAAAATTTACCAACCTGTTAGGCAGAATAATGCTCCTCAGCCCCCCAGAGATGTTTGCTTCCTAATCCTTGGAGCCTGTCAGATGTTTTAGGTTACATAGTAAAGGGGAATTTAGGTCAAAAATGAAGTTAAGTTTGTTAATCAGTTGACTAGACATGGGAAGATTATTCTGGAATATTTATGTGGACACAAAATAATCACAAGAATTCTTAGAAGTAAAGAAAGAGGCAGAAGAGAACCCAATTGATGGCAGGATGAGAAAGTCATGATCCTCCTTTGATGGTTGTGAAAATGGAGGAGAGTCCTAAGGGCAAGAGTGTGGGCAGTCTCTAGAAGCTGGAAAAGCAAAGGAAACTGATTCTCCCCTAGAGCCTCCAGAAGGAACACAGACGTGCTGACCTTCATTTTAGACTAGTAAGACAAGTTTCAAACTTCTCTTCCCCATACCTGTAAGATAATCCATTTGTGTTGTTAGTGGTAATTTGTTACAGCAGTCATAGAAAACCTACTCATTCAAATACTTGTCCATCCTGCAACCCCCTCACAATACATTATTTTACGTTCTGCCTTCCCTGGTTTAAACGGATGAACTGCTGTGTCTCATAAAGACAACCTTCTGTATGGTACACTGGGCCCCACCTCTTCTTGTGTAATCAAGGACCTTGCTGCAGACTTATCTTCTCTTTGCTGCATTGTCAGTTTTCCGTCTTTACTGGATTGTTCTAATCTGTAGTATCTCTCATCTGGAAAGAAAAAAAAAATTGACCTCTTGTCTGCTTCAAGTGTCACACCTCATTCAAAGCCACCATCACCTTTCACATAGATCCTTGTCTCCTAGATCACTTTAGTTATCTCTCAACTGATCTTGCTGTATGTTCTCTTCACTGTTATGATCTCCTCTTCATAGAGTAGCCTGAGTGACCTTTTTCAAGTACTAATGAGGTCACATTATTACTGTCTTACTTAAAACCCTCCATAGGCTTCCTTTTCATGATATTTAAAATTGGAAGTGCTTTCTGAGGCCAATGTAACCTGGCCCTGATCCTGGCTACCGTTCTACCCTTTTCTCTCTCTGCTGCAGCTATACTGACTTTTTTTTTTTTTTTTAAAGCAAACTATCTCATTTTGTCCTAATGCCTTTGCACTTGCCATTTCCTCTGCTTGAGATTCTCTTCTTGCAGATATTTCCATGCTCACTCCTAACTTCGTTTAGGTCTCTGCTAAAATATCCCCACTTAGGCCCATCCTGAAGTAGTACCCTCCTGTCCTGTCACCCTCCCAACATTTGTTGATGAATTTGCCATCAAGCTTATTTTCTTTTTTCTTTTCCAGTCCTAAATTTTGAATAGGGGGTGGTCAGTAAATGGCAACAATAAGATGTAGTAGTATTAAATGTAAAAAGATGAGGAGGTTTTTGAAGGAGAAGAGAGAAGAAATGTATTGGAAGTAGCCATGAAAGACAATGAAAATACATACCTTACCTCCTAGAACTGGAAGAAATAGGATGTAAGAGAAAAAAAAACAGTGCTATGAGGAGATGATCTTTCCTCATAGTTGATGGGTTTCATGAGATAATGTGTGTAAAGCATTTACCACAGTTAATTGTACATATCAATCAGTACATTTCCTTCCATTGGCAGTGTATGTCTTTTCTGTCTTTTTTCTTAGAGGAAAGGAACAGGGACCATATAGGAAGACCTTTGTCAAAGGCAATGGTAATAGAAAAGTGAGGCTAAATCAGAATATTCTGAGATTTACAGCAAACATACAGTTCTTGGAGAGTTAAAGTGTGCCCAAAGAATCATAGAATCAATTATCAGTGGCTTGCCAGGTGTGATTAGAGCCTTAAGTAAAACTAGATTTGGCAAAAAGCATTCTCCTTGCCACTCAAACAGTGCCCTTTTTCAACTGAAAACTATTTTATTTAGAAATCATAGCTAGATATTACTGCAATTAAATTATCTGATAAGCCGTCAACATTGAAATAAAGCCTAGGAGCAACTAATTCTCATAGCTCTTCTACAGGATTTCTTGCTGCCCTTTTCCCTTTGTCATTTCTATCCATGAATAAACTAGAAAGCCCTGCAGGAGTTTGGGATTATATAAGTCTCAAGGTGTACAAATATTTGAAACTCCATGGATTTTTGGCTGTTTCACATGGACAGATTTCAAGAGTGTATATTTATATCATAATTGAAAGTCCATCACCTTATTGTTCATATGATATTTTTGATGAATATATGAATATATTATCAAGTATTGGAGCAAGGATTATTTTCTTATTTTGGATGTAAATAAGCAGTTTTACTCTTGTTTAACTTTGAGAGATTGAGTTTGGATTTCCTGTTTCTTTTTCCAGAGAGCGAAGGGCGTTCCCCAACTCACATTACGGTGCTTTGTCGAGGCCGAGTCTTTGTCTTTGATGTAATGCATGAAGGATGTTTGATGACCCCACCAGAGATTCACAGGTTTTCAAACTACTTTCTTGAGTCTTAAGGTGTTAAGTTTTTGCTTGAGTTAAAAAAATAAATTTTGTTCACAATTGCCTTTGTATAAAGGGACAGTAAGCTAAAAAGAAATAACTCTGTATATGCTGATTTTTGCAAATTTATTATTTTTAGCTTTCATTAATTTTTAACTTTACTAGATGTATATGAATCTATTCTACTTGGAGAATATTATCAATTCCACTTCTTGCCCCAGAATTTATCACCATTAACTAGTTTGGTGTATTCTGTCCTTCTGTATCTGTTCTAGTGAATTTATATGCACATAAAGACTTATAAAAAAGAATGTAGTTTATATCTAGTATGTATTTAAATGCATATAAATAGTATGTACACGTAGTATGTACGTATAGTATTTTGTGTGTTTATATTTTCAAAGTATATTATGGAAAATTTCAAAATTTTGAGGGAACTGTATAATGAAGCTCTTCCATGTTCTCATACCCCAGCTTCAACAGTTATCATCTCCTAGCTTCAACAATTATGAATTCAGAGCCTTGTATCGACTCGCCTTTTCTCCTCCCCTCAGTCTCCTATGGATTGTTGTAAAGAAAATCTCAAGACATAATGTTTCCACTGAAGTATTTTAGTATGTACCTCTAAAAGATAAGGACTCTTAAAATCATACACATGCAGTACCATTATCACACCTAATGACTTGCTTCTTTTAGAAAATGAGGAATTCTTTAATATCATTAATATACAATCATTTGTTCAAATCTTCCTAGATTGTCTTATAAATGTTGAGTTGTATGTATCTATATATATATCTTTAAAATTTTTTATTAAGTATTACAAACATGTACAAAAGTGCACACAGAAATATACAGCTACATACTCATGTAACCACCACCAGGTCAAGATAATAGAATATTTCCAGTATTTTAGAAATTTCCTTCATACCACTCGTCAGTTACCATGCTTTCTCTTCTTTTTAAGGGTAATTATTTAGGTGGCTTACGGTTTTTACTAGAACAAAAAATGATGCTGTGAGAATCCTTGTACGTTTTCTTTCTGATTACACTTAGGAAAGGACTTGTTGAGTCATAGGGTATGTGAACATTGAAATTCAGTACATAATGCAGTTTATGAAAATAGTTATACTAATTAGCACTTTCATACATATATGACTATGTGGGAGGAGTTCTTTATACTTTTTGGATGTGAGCCTTTTGTTGTGTTTAGGTGTTGAAATCCACGGAATAGAAGATGTTTGTACCCTATTAAAGTATCTTTTTTTTTTTTTTTTTTTTTTTTTTTTTTTTTTTTTTGTTTAGTTTTTCTATTAGGGAAGTTGGCACACAGTGTTAGATAAGTTAAATTTTTAATTTTTTTTAAATGTTTTTATTTATTTTTGAGACCAAGACAGAGCATGAGCAGGGGAGGGGCAGAGAGAGGGGGAGACACAGAATGTGAAGCGGGCTCCAGCTGTCTCAGCTGTGCTGACAGCTCAGAGCCAGATGCAGGGCTCGAACTCAGAGTGAGATCATGACCTGAGCTGAAGTCGGGCGCTCAACCGACTGAGCCACCCAGGCGCCCCAGATCAGTTTTAAGTGCGTAACATAGCGATTCAACTTTTTCCTGTGTTACACTATACTTACCAGAAGTGCAACTACCAATCGTCACCATACAACACTATTAGAATATCATTGGATAAAATTAGTAAGAGTTGGTGATTGGGCTTAGAAAGAAAAGAAGGTATTAAATAGGACTGAAATTTTTAAACATGGTTGGGTAGGCAAGTAGTATTATAACAGAAGGAGGCAACAGAGGAGGAGGAACCATTTCATTTTCTTTCTTGTTTTTAATAACTACTTTATTGAGATACAATTCACACACCATACCTTTCACCCATTTAAAGTGTGCAATTCTTGGGGTGCCTGGGTGGCTCACTTGGTTGAGTGTCCGACTCTTGATCTCAGCTCAGGTCATAATCTCAGGGTCATGGGTTCAGGCCCCACACTGGGCTCTGTGCTGGGTGTGAAGCTACTTAAAAAAATAAAGGGTGAAATTTGGCATGTTTTAGAATATTCACAGAATTGTGCAGTCATCTCTACAATCAATTTTAGAACATTTTGTTACCTCCAAAAGTAACCCTGGACCCATAAGCAGTAAAGCCCTATTGCTCCCCAGCTTTCACCCCATCCATTAGTAGACACTACCCATTTCTCCCAAACACTGTAATCCCATTAGTCTGGCATAACCACCAGTGGACTTTTTGTGTGTGTATATTTGCTTATTCTGGGCATTTCATACAAATGGAATCTTAAAATACATGGTCTTTTGTGTCTGGCTTCTTTTACTTAGCATGATGTTTTCAAGGCTCATCTGTGTTGTAGCATGCTTTATTACTTTATTCTTTTTAATGGCTGAATATTCCATTCTGTGGATATGCCACATTTTATGTAAATATTCATCACTTAATGGACATTATGAATAATACTGTCCTGAACATCAGACTTTTGTGTGAATATGTATTTTCATTTCTTTTGGATACATAACTAGGAGGGAATTGCTAGGTCGTAGCTCTGTTTAACTATTAGAGGGAATGCCAAACTGTTTTCTAAAATGACTGCACCATTTTACATTCACTTCAGCAGTAAATGAGGGTTCTAATTTCTCAGCATCCTCACCTCACCAACACTTGTTATTATCTGTCTTTTTGGTTATAGCCATCCTGTAACCTTGGCTATAACCAAAAAGGTGTGACGTAGGATCTCATTGTGGTTTAGTTTTGCTTTTTTATAATGACAGGGATCTTGAGCGTTTTTTTAAATGACTAAGAACTTTATTTTTTTTTAAGTTTTTGTTTTAATTCCAGTTTAGTTCACATACCTAACTGTATTAGTTTCAGGTATACAGTATAGTGATTCAACAATTCCATACATCAGCCGGTGTTCATCATCGATTTAACTCAATCCTCCCCCCACCTCCCCTCTGGTAATCATCAGTTTGTTGTCTATAGTGAGGAGTCAGTTTCTGGGTTTGTGTCTCCCCTTTTTTCTCCCTTTTGCTCATTTGTTGTGTTCTTAAATTCTACATATGAGTGAAACCATATAGTATTTGTCTTTCGCTCACTTATTTCACTTAGGTCCATACATGTCATTGCAAATAGCAAGATTTCATTCTTTTGTATGGATGAATAGTTTTCAGTTGTATATGTATACCACATGTTTATCCATTCATCAATCAGTGAACACTTGGGCTGTTTCCATGTCTTGGCTATTGTAAGTAATGCTGCTATAAACATAGGGATGTATGTACCCCTTTGAATTAATGTTTTTGTATTCTTTGGGTAAGTACTCAGTAGTGTGATTGCTAGATTCTAGGTAGTTTTATTTTTAACTTTTTTAGGAACCTCCATACTATTTTCCACAGTGGCTGCACCAGTTTTCATTTCCACCAATGGTGCAGTAGTGTTCTTTTTCTTCTGTGCTGTTGAGCATCTTTTCATGTGCTTATTGACCATTTGTGTATCTTCCTTGGAGAAAAGTCTATTAAAATCCTTTACCGATTTTTAATTGGATTGTCTTTTGATTATTGAGTTGTAAAACTTCTTTGTATATTCTAAGTATGTCTCTTACCAGATACATAATTTGCAAATATTTCTCTCCCTTTCTGGAGTTCTCTTCTCATTTTATTCTTGACTTCCGTTGAAGCACAAATGTTTTAATTTTTACAGAGTCCACTTTTCTATTTCTTTGGTTGCTTGCGCTTTTGGTCTTGTATCTGAGAAATCGTTGCCTAATCCAAAGTCATAAATATTTAGGGGCACCTGGCAGGCTCAGTTGGTAGAGCATCCCACTTTTGAGCCTAGCATCATGAGTTGAAGCTCCACAATGGGCATGGAGCCTCCTTAAAAAACAAAAACGAAGTCACAAAGATGTATACCTATGTTTTCTTCTAAGATAAGCTTTTTTTCTTTTAATTTGGAAAGGGGACAGGGAGATGATTTTTAAATCTAGTTTGGAATGCTGACTGAAACTGAAATAGAGATATCAGCAAGCATTAGGAAATTTGGGACCAGAAATTTTAAGAGAAAGTGGGGTTAAAGTTAGAGATTTGGTTGCCTCTTACACAAAGGTAATAGACAGTTAAAGCTCTTAAACAAATTGATGAAATTACCAAAGGAGAAACTTGCAGAAGACGTCAGGAGAGGTCATTGACAGATTTGGGGGAACGTTTGGTGGTGAAAAGAGAACAGATGATCAGTGAAATAGACTAAGCCGAAAGCGAGGTAAGGAGACTGCCGTGGAACCGTGCTACAAAAGCTAAGATAGAAGATAATTTTAAGATTTACTCCTGGGTGTTAAATACTCTGTGATCAGGAAAACAGGACTGAGATAAACCTACTACATTTGTTTTATGGGATACTGTTGGTGACTTTCAGAAATGCAGTTTCAAGATAATCATTGGAGGACAAAACCAGATTATAGTAAATGAAAGTGGAAAGTAATGAAGGCAGAAACCAGATTGTGAGAAAATCTCAAGTATAGAATATTTTGAAAGGTGTAGGAGTCTGAAATGTAAATACTGGTAATACAAATTTTGTGCTTTTAAATATCAAACAATGCATGTGTAGCTAAAAAACAGATGCATAGATGGCCAAATTAAAGGAAAAGGGGTTATCCTAGTTACCAAATCTGTAGCATTTAAAAAAATTTGAACAGACTTTTAAAAACTTTATTGAGGTGTGATTGACATATGAAAAGCTGTACATGTTTATTGTGTACATCCTGATGAGTTTGGAAATAAGTACACACCCATGAAACCATCACCACAATCTACCATAAACCTATCCATTACCTCCAAAAGTTGCCTGCCTCCTTTATTTAATAATTTTTTTGTGATAACACTTAACATAAAACCTATCCTCTTAATTTTTTAAAGCATACAATACAGTATTGTTAATTATAAGCCCTGTGCTCTACAGTAGATCTCTAGGATATTCATCTTGGATATTCCACAAAGCTGGAACTTTGTGTCCTTTGACTAATTACCCACTCCCCCCCCCCGCGCTTGCTGCACCCCATGTCCAGGAAACCACCATGCCACTCTATTTTAGCTTGCTCCTGTAAGTGATATTATGTAGTATTTGTCCTGTGTCTGACTTACTTCACTTAGTGTATTGTACTCCAGGCTTATCCATGTTGTTGCCAATGGCAGGATTTCCTTTCCTTCTTTTTTAAGGGTGAGTGATACTCCATTGTACATATATGTTACATTTTGTTTATCCATTCATCTGTCAGTGGATACTTAAGTGTCTTTCACCTCTTGGCTATTGTGAATAATGCTGCAGTGAACATGGGAGTGCCGATGTCTCTTAAGGTCCTGACTTCAATTCCTTTTGGATATACACTCAGAACTGGGATTGCTGGGTCATAAAGTAGTTTTGCTTTTAATTTCTCAAGGAAACTCCTTACTATTTTCCATAGTGGCTGCAGCAATTGACATTCCTACCAACAGTCCACAAGAGTTCTTTTCTCTACATCCTCACCAACACTTACTTCTTACTTTCTCATAACCATCCAAATAGCGTGAAGTGATGTATCATTTTGGTTTTGATTAATATTTCCCTGATGGGTAGTCATGTTGAGTACCTTGTCATGCACTTGCTGGCCATTTGTAGGTCTTTGAAGAAATGTCTGTTTAGTTCCTTAACCCATTTTTAAATTAGGGTTATTTGGTTTTTTGGTATGAGTTGTAGGGATTCCTTATATATTTTGAATATTAACCTCTTATCAGATACATGGCTTGCAAATACTTTCTCATATTCTGTAGGTTGCCTTTTAATTTTGATGTTAACTGTGCAGAAGCTTTTAGTTTGATGTAATTTTTTGCTTTTGTTGCCTATGCTAAACCTCTGTGGATTTTGGATTGATGAAAGTGTATTTCTTTATTGAAGAACCCTGTTATTTGCCTGTCAAATGTTTAAAGATACAGGAAACTCATCAGTTTGGGAGTATAGAGTACTTTGGAGTGAAATTTTTTCTTTAATAGAGTCTTTAAAATGATTGTAAGTAACGTGAAAACATTTAAAATTGACAACGTATTCTATTTTTGAAGTTACACACAAATATTAATTGGTTATAGAGTAATTCTGTTAAACATATATGCACATAGTTTTTAGTTAGGTAAGATGTACATAATATTTGTGATATCATTTACAGAATATTTTTCAAGTTCTCTATTGTAAGGGGTATTTACTTAGACCCCAGAAGTACATGTACATTTTGAAAATATAAATAATACCAGCCAAACAGCAAATTTAATTACTTAAAGTTATTAAATATACTTTTGTGTTAATAGGCCACACACTCACTTTAAAAAAAAAAAAAAAAGGAGATAAGGTGTGGGAAATTGCTGTTGAGATCATAATCCCTTTCTTTGGATAATACATCAAAACAGTTAAGTACTGATAAACAATATGACCTATTAAAGGCTAAAAGTAGCTAGTGATCCTGCTTATGCTTTTTTTTACATATTCTTTCTTTAATCTTCCCTAAGGCAATTGACATATATTCACAAGAAGTGCCATAGTGAACCCGATGGACCTGGGATACCAGCATTAACCAGTGAGGAGCGAACCCGATGGGCTAAGGTTATAATTTATAGTTGTGTGTGTTTTTTTTTTTTTTAACTGAAGTATAATTGACATAACATTCTATTAGTTTCAGGTGTACAGCATAATTAGATATTTGTATATACTGTAAAATGATCACAATAAATCTCACATAATTAAATTTTTTGTCTTGTGATGAGGACTTTTAACATGTATTCTCTTAGCAGTTTCGAAATATATAACAGGGCATTATTAACTGCACAAGTATCTCCCACTTTTTGAAAGTTTTGGTTATGTCACTACACTCTCACAAAGTACCTACATTAGTACTGGGTTTTGTGCATTGAAAGAAACCCAAGGAAGATTTTTGCTTTCATGAAAAAAGGCAAAAAGCAAAAATAGTGTCAGCAAGTGTGTGTCACAGCACGTTCCTTGAGCAGCAAGAGTGGCACACGAAGCTCATTCCCCTGGAGCTGCCTTCAGAATCTCACCATCAAGCTCTGGGCATCTGTGTCTGGAAGCACCTGTGCTTTATCTGACTTTATTTGTGCATCCCTTCACAAGATGTGTTCTGTGTTATCAGTAAAGCAAAAGCGAGGTTATTTTTGGAGAACGTTCAAACCTGTTTCCATATAAATTAATGGTAATTGCCTCTTTGCTCTTCTATACCATTTTGGCTCATGAAAGATTTCATAGGAATAGTCTACTTTCAGGTAGAGGTTTATGCTTTTCTTAATAAACCTTTTCCCTAACAGACTATTTGTAGATTTTCTGGATATATTTAGTTTGTAACATTTAATCATTATTTCTTTGTCTCTTAGGCACGAGAATATTTGATTAGTCTTGATCCGGAGAACTTGACTAGGTTAGAAAAAATTCAAAGCAGTTTACTGGTGTATTCCCTAGAGGATAGCAGTCCACATGTAACGCCAGAAGATTATTCTCAGGTGCTTGACTATCTTGTTCTGTTACTTCTTCTCACAGATTATTCTGGAAGGCTCTTGTGTATATTAAAGATGAAAAGATTTTTTGTTACATGCAGTTTCTTAAAATTTTTACTTAGCTGTCATACATACATTTACCAGATTGAAGCTTATACATAAATAATCCTTTGTAAATTCTTGCCTCATTGTTTAGGTAATTTAGATATATCTTGTACATTATTTAAAGAAGTATGGCTGTTGTTTGGATGAACGGAAAATTTGCATGGGACTCTGGGCTAAGTGAGCTTATCATGCCAAAGGTGACATGAGAACCTTCCGGTAACCCACAGCAGTGTGCCTTGACATCTTAGTTGGTGAGGTCTGTTCTAGGAGTTATATCACTCTTGTAAGTAATTTATCATTTGATTTTTATTGACACACTGACTTTTAGTGAGGTACAGAGTACAGAGTAAATGTGGCCTTGCTTTGTTTCCTTCCCTGCCCCCCCAGGGTAATGTTATTTCCTGGGAAACAATAAAAGGTAGTATTCGTACCTGTAGAAGTCTCTTAGGCTTTTGAAAACACTTAAATTATTTCATAATGGATTCACCACGATTAAATAGTAGAAAAAATAAAGGATTGAAAAATTTTGTAAGTAAAAATAACTTTAGCTGGACTTTTTTAGTAGGAAAGTCTGCAAGCTTTTTTTAAAATTTTTTTTTAATGTTTATTAATTTTTGAGAGACACCGACAGACCGTGAGCGGGGCAGGGCAGAGAGAGAGGGAGACAGAGAATCTGAAACAGGCTCCAGGCTCTGAGCCCGGCCAGGGGCTGAACTCAGCACAGAGCCTGATGCAGGGCTCAAACTCATGAACTGTGAGACCATGACGCGAGGCAAAATTGTATGCTTACCCGACTGAGCCACCCAGGTGGCCTGGGAGAGTCACCAAACTTCTTGAGGAAGAATGTATTTTAATGTAGTGTTTGAACTTTTACTGCAGTCTAGTTAGACATGCATTTAGGTTGTAGCCCACTACACGCGTATACACACATAATGGAAGTTTCACAAAATAGTAATTACTTTTACTATTTGTGATAGACTCTGATATTTATTTTTATTTTGTACTTTTTTTGTAATGAATGTTTACTCTGATGTGCTAAATTGTTCTCATGGCTCACTAACGGGCCAAAACCTACTGTTTAAGAAACAGGCTTCGTAGGGTATGAATTCTTGAATTATTCTTCTTGTAACTAGACTCTAATGACGAAACTTATCACAGCTTCTTAGACTATTCAAGTTGCAAAAGCTTTGTCTTTTCCCTTCGAAGTTCTCTAAACACCCATGAGTATTTTACCAGCTTTCTGTTTACTGGTGGGATTTCTTGAGATTTTGAGAAATACCTAGAGACAGGGCTGAAATTAGTATGATCTCTTGAGTATAATTATTATCATTTTATTAAATTTGGTTTACCTGAAGAGGAAAAGTGGGTTTTGTGTGTGTTTGTGTGTGTGTATATATACACGTTTAAGGTATAAATACTTATATACCTTTTAATATTAAAATTCTTTTAATTTTAAAACATTGAATTTGTTTTAGGTAACTGCAATGATTCTTGCAGGAGATCCAACATTACGCTGGGGAGACAAATCGTATAACTTGATTTCCTTTTCCAATGGAGTATTTGGCTGTAATTGTGATGTAAGTAAACAACTAAAGTTACTTTTCCTTTCAATTGTTGAGGTTAATTTAGTGGCAATAAACTATAGTAGTTAAGCTGTGCTGTGGTCAAATAAACACTTGGGTAGTTCTGTAACATTATACTAAAAGGCTTAGTTATGATTTCCAGTGAAGACAGAGTATAGGACAAGTTATTTTTATTCGTAGTAAGGCTGACGGTTTGACGTGTATCTGCAAAGTGGAATTTGCATGTATTTTATGTAGTTAAGGATTTTAAAGAGTTTTGAAGGTCTTGAAGTCCACTGTTACCTGTTGGTTGAGAGTTACAACCTATTTTAAAAGATACAGCATTGGGGTACCTGAGTCAGTTAAGCCTCTGACTTGGGCTTAGGTCATGATCTCATGATTCGTGAGTTCAAGCCCCACATCAGGCTCTGTGCTGACAGCTCAGAGCCTGGAGCCTGCTTTGAATTCTATGTCTTCGTCTCTCTGCCCCAACTCTGCTCACATTGTCTCTCTCAAAAATAAAGATAATAAAAGCATTAAAAAAAAAGATCATTATGTGTACGTTCTATGCACAGAGAGATATATGTGGATATATCTCTAGATTTACCCAGGAATTATTAAACTATTTTCCTAAAATGGCACATGATCCTTGGAATTTTTATTTACACTGTAGATATTAAAGTGATGCTTCTACAATTTTTTACCTGCTTCATAATAAAAAGAAAAAACTTGTTTCTTTCATTCTCCTTTGATCATCTTTATTAGCTCTACCTTGCCATTTTCTGATGGCCATTCAAGAAGTCTATAAACCAAGAAAATTAAAAAATCAATCAAAGTCAGAGTTGCAGCATACACTTGTAACCTCATTTTAAGACCTTTCATAAAATACGTAATTTGCTATAAAGTAGTATTAGGTAGATTGTTTTTGGTTGTCTTCCTCCAGAAGCATTTAGCAACTATACAATACTAAAAAGACCTGTTATGTTGATCTGCGTTCAGTAGTTGTGTTAATCAGTATTCAGTGGTGGGTGATAGAAACCTAAATTATACTGGCATTAGCTTAAGGTATTTGTTGGCATAAGGGTACAGCTGAATTTGGGTAAGGCTGACTTCCAGTGTCCAAATGCTTTTATTAGAAATTTCCCTCTTTAGGGGCGCCTGGGTGGCGCAGTCAGTTAAGCGTCCGACTTCAGCCAGGTCACGATCTCGTGGTCCGTGAGTTCGAGCCCCGCGTCGGGCTCTGGGCTGATGGCTCGGAGCCTGGAGCCTGTTTCCGATTCTGTGTCTCCCTCTCTCTCTGCCCCTCCCCCGTTCATGCTCTGTCTCTCTCTGTCCCAAAAATAAATAAAAAACGTTGAAAAAAAAATTTAAAAAAAAGAAATTTCCCTCTTCATTTTTTACACTACTTCCTGTGTTTGACTTCAGGTGGACCATCCCATGTGGTCGTTGTACCCAAAATGTCTTGTCTTCACATTCACAGCTCCCTTCACAGATTAGTGTTCTTCATGCAAACGTCCCCCAAACGTCCCCCTCACCCCCACACACACCGCCTCCACCATCCTAGCGGTTCCAGCAAAAGCCCTTGGAATAATGCTCACTGGTTGTGATTGGCCTTTGTCTATCATGTGCCCATTCTGAGGGATCAGGTGCTCTCATTTGTGTGGCCTGGGTCACATGTTAAACCTTGGAACCTAGGGGGTAGAATCACTCTCATTCATACCACCACAGCATATGTGTTGGCTGCCTACAGAAAAATAAATCTCAGAAGAGGGTGAAGGGTTGATTAGCAGGTAATAAACTAGATGTCTATTATAGTACCTCATCAGAGTGCAAGTTTGTTTTGAGTCATTTTAAAGATTTCTTGTCTATTATCTTCCTTGGGATTCATTGTTGACAAAATACTTGTTGTTAATTGCCTCCATTTTCTTGAGTTCTTTCTATTCCCCGGAAACTATCCTTTGTATAGTAGCTAACTACTTCCTAGTGTCTTCCTCTCTCTTTCTCTTGACTTGTCTGCTGCAGTTGATTACCTTCTTCATACATATTCTGACATTGCCTCCATCTCTTAACAGTCTTGTCCTGTGTACTGATTCTGACCTTACTATTAGTCTCACTGTTTCCTCTTATGTGTGTTCTCTCCCCTGGTTTAATAGTTTCATTGACCATTTGTATATGGGTAGCTTAAAGTTATTCGTTTTTTTTTTCAAGTTTTTGTTTAAATTCCAGTTAACATACAGTGTACTATTAGTTTCAGATGTACAATGTGGTGATCCAGTACTTACATACAGTACCCAGTGCTCTTTGCAAGTGCCCTCCTTAATCCCCATCACCTATTTCACCCTTACCCCCACCCACCTCCCCTCTGGTAACCAGCAGATTGTTTGCCATAGTTAAGAGTCTCTTTCTTGGTTTGCTTCTCTCTTTTCCCTATGATCATTTTTGTTTGTTTGTTTCTTAAATTCCACATATGAGTGAAATCATATGGTATTTGTCTTTTCTCTGACTGACTTGTTTGGCTTAGCATAATACTCTCTAACTCCATCCATGTTGTTGCAAATGGCAAGATTTCATTCTTTTTTATGGCAAAGTAGTAATATTCTATTGAGTATGTATACCACAACTTCTTTATCCACTCATCTCTCAATGGAGCAGTTATTCTTTTCTAGTTTTTACCTATTCTTATTTTGAGAATTTTGTTTCATTGTATATTGTTCAAACTGGTTGTTATATTGTTACATAAGGGTAAATTATTCTCATCATCACTTTCAACCCTCAAATCCCTCCAAAAAACTCCTTGCACTACTTTGACTTTTACTAATAGCACTAAACTCTTGATACTTGCTCAAATTCAGGATGAAAATAACTTTAATGATGTTTTTTCATCTCTAAATGAAGAATATTGGTCTCAAAATGAACACACATCTCAGCACAAACGAGATGTTTTCTTGTAGTAAGTGTATGGACATGTTTTATGTGTATTTATTAATATCCACTTATTTTAAAATTCCATGTAGGTTTCCCTTGTAACCTGAGATGATTGCAGAAAAAAACAATTTAACTTATGTAAAATATCATTAATAGAGTGTATACAGTTGACCTTTGAACAACATGGGTTTCAACTGTGTGGGTGTAAATACATGGATTTTTAAAAGTATATATTTTATTTTTATTTTTTAATTGTTTTAAGTATATATTTTATATTGTGATTGAAAAATAGAAGTTGCCAAATGACTAAAAGTGAAGGAAAGGTAGAGAAGAGATGCTGGGAAGGCTGGAACAGCAGGGCTCCTACGTGCTCCTGGCAGTCCTCACCTCACTACCTGTGCAAAGTTTGGTTCACTGAGGTCTTGAACTGAAAGGAGCAGAGGAACTGGAGGCCAGTCATTGTCCACAGTTGGCCAGGAACCACAGAATGATAATCTGCACTCCTTCCAACCCTTTCTCCGTGCCACGGGTCCAGGAGAATATCTGGGGCAGGATAGCACCAGGCAGGAACCTGGGTTGCAGAGCTCAGGGCAGGAAGGAATGCTGTCTGAGGTGCTGAAAATTCTCTGAAGTAGAAAACTAATACTGCTGGGAGCCACTTGCCAGCACTTGCCACAAGCAGAAGCTGAGTTAGAACCATGCAGAGGGGTCAGGGGAGCAAGCAACCTAGCAAGAAGGGTAATGGTGCTCTCTCTTCGCCATTTCTCTGCCTTCCCCTAGAATCTTCTTGGAAGGAGGTTTCCTGCATTCCTGGGTAGCTTTGCTAATTTGGGTGGGAATGAGGAGATGTGTAGTGCCTTGTTCTACTAATGTACTATACAGTAAGTGTATTTTCTCTTGCTTAGGATTTTCTCAACGTTTTCTTTTCTCTTAGCTTTATTGTAAGAATGTAGATATAATACTTATAACACAGAACATGTTAATTGACTGTTGATGTTATTGGCAAGACTTCGTTTGGGTCAATAGTAATTAAGTTCTGGGTAGTGAAAAATTATATATGGATTTTTGATTGCATGAGAGGCCAGTGTTGTTCATCTGTATACTCTAAAAGTTGGTCTACTCTATATCCAAAGCCATGTCGCTGCTGTATTCCATTGGTACTTGAATATGTACTTTTGTGATTATAGCAGTTAATTACATTTCCCTTTTGGGGTTTAAAATCCTGGGGTCAACTATTTTGTCTTCTCTATACAGGCTTTGTTTTAGGGCTTTGTGAAGGGCACATAAGGAGGCATATAATAAAGTAATTAAATAATAACAGCAGTTACTGATGATTGCTGTGGTCCAGGTTCTGTAGTAAGTACTTTATAAGCATTATTAAAATCATTTTTCTCACTAAGTCTGTGATTATTATCCCCACTAACAGATGAGGCAGATTACTTAAAAAATTAAGTAACTTTTCAACACTTGAACAACTAGGAAATGGTAGCGTTTGGACTCCGAATCAAAGCCCTCATTCCTAAACAGTATGTTACACGTATTGTCGCCACATAAATAAAAAGAAAAGGAAGTTAAAACTGTATTAACAGATAAAACGTCACGAAAGCATTTAAAGTTTTCATAGTTCCTAACTTTTAAAAAAATAGATAAGCTTTCTACCATGAGATGGGTAGGGTAGAATTAGAAGTCAAAGAGACTTTTATCCTCCAGTCTTGCTTTTTCTTACTGGCTCTAGTAAAAGAGTTATAAATTAATAGTATTTTCTCAAATGAAACATTATGTGATACCAATAAAAATTCTTTGTAAAGTTGCAAGATGCAGTTAGAAAATGTACTTGTCACTGATCTGTGTGTCTTATGGGTGCTGTTGCTGACAGGTGGGGTGAGTTGTTCATGCATCTTGTTCTGAACTCTCTCAGGAGCCGTTCCTCGTGTTGTGGCTGCTCTCTAGTTGGTAACAATATTCATCTGTACTTCTAGGCTCCACTGGGCTGTTCGAGAGGGCAGCGCATCTCTGTAATGTTAGGGTGATATTTACGATACCTAACTCCCTCTGAAACTGGGTCCAAGTGTGCTCAGTTCCTATCTTAAGCCTCCATCTTTCTCTCCAAGGCTAGTAGTGCCACATACAGTTCATGGATGGTAACTGTTTAAAGTGAAGCAGTAACATGGAGAAAAAATAAAACTATTTGATGCAATTGTCAAAGGACATGGGAAAAAGAAGGCATAAAGTTTGTCCTCCACAGTAAATGATGGAAAAATTCACTAGCTGCAATTCCTTTCTCTTAATATAGTTGTCAAACACATAATACCCCTGTAACTCAGCCCATCTTTCCAGAATTCCTTAAAGGTTGAGAATTATTTCTGCTACATCTGAACAGTTTTGTAGACATAAACACAAAATCGTTATGCTTTTTGATACTCAACCTAGTGGTCTATGTCTTCACCTAAAAAGTTTGCATCCATGCTCAGTTTGCCTTCAGAAAGTCTGCCAGCCTTATTTGTGTTTTGCACAGTGCTCTTAAAATTTCAGAGCATCTTAGCACTGCACACATACACCTGCTTTCACTTCCAGTATAAATATCATTACCTAAGGATCTCTAATTAGGTGCTTCCAGCTTTAAGTATTTGTTCTTTTGCAGTAGATAAAATATAACAGTCATTTATTATGCCATATATTCTTATTAGGTGAAGCATTTGAATTTTGCAGTTTATTCTGTATTAAGAATGAAGGGCAGGGAAATTGAAAATGAAATATTGGGTCAAATTTTAAGTTGACATAAAGTATTCAGTATCTTGTATATTTTCATTTTAGCATGCTCCTTTTGATGCAATGGTTCTAGTAAACGTCAGCCATTATGTTGATGAGAAAATTGTAGAGAATGAAGGAAGATGGAAGGTATGTCAGAAAAAATATTTCATCCTTTTTTTTTCCTGGTAGTTTTTTGATTGAGCATTTTTAAGTCTTCCCTATTTTCAGGGTTCAGAAAAAGTACGGGATATATCACTTCCAGAGGAGCTCGTTTTCACTGTGGATGATAAAATCCTAAACAACATTAAACAGGCTGAAGCCCAATATCTCAAGCAGGTAGATTTTTTTAACTTTTTTTCTTAGAAACTGATGCTTTGTCTTTTAACTACCGTATATAAAAATTTGGCTACCATCCAAGCATGACAACATAAAACATTTTAAATTATAGCTTTGATACCTTTATTATTTAATATCTAATGATTGATGCAAATGATGATTTGGTTATCTTTGGGGTATTCTTCTTAGGTGATTTTTCATTTTTCCCATTTAATTTTTTTTTGTTAGGCATCTGATCTGCAGATTGTGGTGTATGCCTTTACATCTTTTGGCAAAAAACTAACCAAGAAGAAGAGGCTTCACCCTGATGCATTTATTCAGCTTGCACTTCAGCTGGCCTATTATAGACTTCATGGACGGTGAGGACCATTCATTTTCCATTTTCAGATCTTGAAGTCCAAGGGTATATCTTTACCATAGGTATTCCATCATAACTCCTTCCCATTGTTTTTCCTGACTTTTCTCCCAAGTAGCACCTTGTCCTAATTGGGACTTAACATCATTAGTATATTAGAGTTTTGATCTGTGACACTTTCATAGTCTTGTTTTTCATAACCTTAATACTTCTGAAGTGTCTGCTTTGTTCTACGAGGGGTTTTATGTTCTTTGGAATTCAAATCACTTGGTTTTCTTGTAGCCTCAGTTTCCTGATGTGTTCATGATTTTATAGATTATCCAGTCTTTACTAATTTTTAGGATTGGAGAAATGGTATGTTGAGACTTTCTTAAATCTTAAGCAGAAGAAGAAGCTCCTTGATCTTGCTTTTTAAAAATCCAGTCTGAGGGACACCTGGGTGGCTCAGTTGGTTAAGCGCCTGACTCTTGGTTTTGGCTCAGGTCATGATCTCACAGTTAGCTCAAGTCCTGCATCTGGCTCTGCGCTGACAGTGTGGAGCCTGCTTGGGATTCTCTTTCTCCCTCTCTGTTTCTCTGCCCCTTCCCCACTCCTGTTCTCTTTCTCTTTCAAAATAAATAAATAAAACTTAAAAAAAATCCAGGGGCATGTGGGCGGCTCAGTCAGCTGAGTGTAAAAAAAAAAATCCAGGGGCACCTGGGTGGCTCAGTTGGCTGACTGTCCGGCTCTTGGTTTCGGCTCAGATCATGATCTCTTGGTTCTTGAATTTGAGCCCCGCATCGGGCTCTGTGCTGACAGCTCAGAGCCTGGAGCCTGCTGTGGTTTCTGTGTCCCCCTCTTTGTCTGCCTCTTCCCCACTCACGTGCGTGCTCGTGCTCTGTCTCTCTCAAAAATAAATAAGCATTAAAATTAAAAATCTAATCAGGGAATATGTGTCCTTTTTTTTTTTTCCTTTCTCTTTTTTCTTTTGAGAGACAGAGAGAGAGAGCATGCTGCCTGTAAGCATGGGAAAGGGCAGAGGGAGAGAGAGAGAGAGAGAGAGAGAGAGAGAATCTTAAGGAGACTCCACACCCAGGGACGCCTGGGTGGCTCAGTCAGTTGAGCTTCTGACTTCAGCTCAGGTCATGATCTCGCAGTTCGCGAGTTTGAGCCCCGCATCAGGCTCTGTGCTGACAGCTCGGTGCCTGGAGCCCGCTTCAGATTCTGTGTCTCCCTCTGCTCCTCCCCTGCTCATGCTCGCTCACTCTTGCTCACTCTTTCTCAGAAATAAAGAAACTTAAAAAAAAAAAAATTAAAAGAAAAAACAGGAGACTCCACGCCCAGCACAGAGCCTAATGTTGGGCTTGATCTCATGAGTATGAGATCGTGACCTGAGCCAAAATCAAGAGGGGGACATTCAACCAACTGAGCCACCCAGGTGCCCTGAGAATATGTGTCATTAAATAGGATATGTAGGTCATTTATATTTAATATAATTATCAGTAATGATAGGTTTAAGTCTACCATATTGCTGTTTCTTTTCTTTTTATCATATCTGATTTTTGTTCTTTTTCATCTTCTTTTGATTTTTTTTTAATGTTTATTTTATTTTTGAGAGAGACACAGAATGCGAGTGGGTTAGGGGCAGAGAGAGAGGGAGACACAGAATCCGAAGCAGGCTCCAGGCTCCGAGGTGTCAGCACAGAGCCCAACGCAGGGCTCGATCTCACGAGCTGTGAGATCATGACCTTAGCCAAAGTCAGAAGCTCAACTGAGCCACCCAGGCGCCCCTCGTCTTCTTGTGAATTCATTTTTTTTCACTTGTTCCCTTTTATTTCCATTGTCAGATATACTGTTTTGTTTTGCTTTTAATAGTTGAACTGGGGTTTATAAAGCACATCTTTAACTTAACAGAGTCTACCCTTAAATAACATTTTCCACTTGAAGTATAATGTAAGAACCTTAAAACAGAATGTTTCTATTTTGATTCTCCCATCTTTAGTGCTGTTGTTGTCATAACATTATATTTCTACATATGTTACAAGCCTTACAGTACACTGTTAGTATTTGCCTTAAGCATTTGAGTATTTTTTTTTAATGTGGTAAAATATATAAAATAGAACTTGCCATTGTAGCCATTTTTAAGTGTATGATATAGCAGCATTAATTACATTCATAATGTTATACATCCGTCACAACTGTCTATAGCAAAATTTTTTCATCACCCCAAACAGAAACTCTGTACCCATTGAAAAATAATTTCTCATTCCTACTGTTTCCTCAGCGCCTGGTAATCTAAACTACTTTCGGTCTCTATAAACTTGCTTATTTTTATAGATATTTTATGTAAGTGGAATTTGTCTTTTGTGTCTGATTTATTTAACTTAGGATAATGTTTCTGAGATTCATCCATGTTGTAGAATCGGAACTTTATTCTTTTTTATGGCTAAATAATATTCCATTATGTGAGTATACCACATTTTGTTTGTCCATTCATCTCTTGGTTGACACTTGGGTTGTTTCTATGTTTTAGATCTTGTGAATAATACTGTTGTAAACATTCACGTACAAGTATCTGTTTGAGTCCTGTTTTAGTTTCCTTTTGAGTCTGTACCTAGGAGTGGAATTGCTGGGTTGTGTGATAATTCTCTTTTACTTTTTGAGCACCTGCCAAACTATTTTCTACCATGGTTATACCATTTTACATTCCCACCAGCAATATGTAAGGGTTCCAGTTGCTCCACATCCTTGCCAACACTTAATTTTTCATTTAAAAAATTATTTCTATTATTTGTGAAGTAGTATCTCATGGTGGTTTTTACTTGCATCTCCCTATTGACTAATGAGGTTGTGTAGCTTTTCATGTTAATTATCCATTTGTATATCTTCTTTGGCAAACTGTCCATAAAAGTCCTTTGTGTATTTGGTAATTGGGTTGCCATTTTGTTGCTGAATTGTAAGAGTTCTTTATGTATTCTGGATATGAAACCCTTATCAGATATGTGATGTGCAAATATTTCGTCCCATTCTGTGGGTTTTCTTTTCACTCTCTTGATAGTACCCTTTGACGCACAAGTTTTTAATTTTGAAGTCTAGTTTATCTGTTTTTTTTTTTTTTTTATTTGTTGCCTGTGCTTTTGTTGACGTATTCAAGAAATAGTTGCCAAATCCAATGTCATGAAGTTTTCCCCTTACATATTCTTGTAGGAGTTTTGTGTGGTAAGGGTCCAATGTCATTCTTTTGCAAGTGGATACTCAGTTTTCCCAGCATTATTTGTTGAAGAGACTGTTCATTGAATGGTTTTGATGTTGTTGTTTAAAATCAATTGATAATAGACGTAAGGGTTTAATTCTGGGGTTTCAATTCTATCCCATTGGTCTGTATGTCTCTTCTTATATCAATACCATACTATTTTGATTATGGTAGCTTTGTAGTAAGTTTTGAAATCCAAAAGTGTGAGTCCTTCACCTTTGTTCTTTGCAAGATTGTTATGGCAGTTCTTGGCTGTTTGTAAAATACCATATTAATTTTAGGATTAGTTTTTCCCTTTTTACAGAAATGTTGGGAGTTTTGAATCTGTGGACTGCTATGGGTAGTATTGTCACCTTAATGATAATAAGTCTTAGTCCATGAACACAGGATCCCTTTCCATTTATTTATGTTTTTAAAAATTTCTTCAAGCAATGTTCTGTAGTTTCTAGTGTATACTGTTTTTGCCTCTTTGGTTAAGTTTAATCTTGAGTATTTTATTCTTTTAGACACTGTTGTAAATGCAGTTGTTTTCTTAATTTTCTTCAGATTGTGCATTGCTAGCATATGGAAATGAAGCTGATTTTTGTGTGTTAGTTTTGTATCTTTAAACTTTGCCGGGGGCCCCTGGGTGGCTCACTAGTTAAGCGTCTGACTTTGGCTCAGGTCATGATCTCACGGTTCATGCGTTCGAGCCGTGTGTCGGGCTCTGTGCTGACAGCTCAGAGCCTGGAGCCTGCTTCGGATTCTGTGTCTCCCTCTCTCTCTGCTCCTTCTCCGTTCACGCATGTGCGTGCGTGCTCTCTCTCAAATATGAATAAACATTAAAAAATAAATAAACTTTGCCAAATTTGTTTATTTCCTCTAACAATTTTTTGTGGACTCTTTGGGGTTTTCTAAATATGAGATCATGTTGTCTGTAAATAGAGATAGTTTTGCTTTTTTCTTTCCAATTTGGGTGCCTTTTATTTCTTTTCTCCTGGCTAGAACACCCAGTACTATGCTGAATCATTCTTGTCCTATTGCTCCTTTTAGGTGGAAAGGTTTCAGTCTTTGACTTTTGAGTATGTTAGCTGTGAGTTTTTCATAAATGCCCTTGATCATGTTGAGCAAGTTTCTTTCTATGCCTAGTATACTGAGCGTTTTTACTGGAGAGTGTTGGATTTTGTCAGATGCTTTTCTGTCTCAATTATTCTAGGGCTTACCCTTCATTCTATTAATAAGGTGTATTACATTGATTGATTTTCATTTGTTGAACCACCCTCACATTCCTAGGATATATTGCATTTGGGCATGGTGAATTGTCCTTTTTAATATGCTGCTGAATTTGGTTGGCTAATTTCAGGATTTTTGCATCTATATTCGTAAAGGGATAATGGCCTATAGTATTTTCTTGTAGTGTTTTTTTTTTAAGTTTTTATTTAAATTCCAGTTAGTTAACACAGTGTAGTATTAGTTTCTGGTGTACAATTTAGTGATTCAAAGCTTCTATACAATACCCAATGCTTATCACAACATGTGTACTCCTTAATCTCCAACTCCTCACCCACCTCCCCTCTGGTAACCATCAGTTCTCTGTAGTTAGGAGTCTTTCTTGGTTTGCCTCTCTTTTTTCCCCCCTTTGCTTGTTTGTTTTGTTTCTTACATTCTAACTTCATCCACGTCGTTGCAAATGGCAAGATTTCATTATTTTTGATGGCCAAGTAACATTCCATTGTATATGTATACCATATCTTCTTTATCCATTAATCTGTTGATGGACATTTGGGCTCTTTCCATAATTTGGCTTTTGTAGATAATGCCGCTATACACGTTGGAGTGCATATATCCCTTTGAGTTAGAATTTTTGTAGTCTGTGGGTAAATACAATTGTAGTAGTCTGCTGAAGTTGTAGTTAGAGTGTCATTCAGCTCTTTTCTCATCTGAAGGTACTCAGAAGGGATCTGCTCCCAGGCTCACTCATGTGATTATTAACAGGGATCACTTCCTCCGAGGCTGTTTTCCAGAGGCCTCCCTCAGTTTCTTGCTACCTGGGCCTCACTGTAGGGCACCTTCCAGCATGGCAGCTTGTGTTCCTCATATTGAGGAAGTGAGAGCAGTGAGATCTCTTTGTAACCTTATTTCAGAGATGACATCACCTTTGTCCTGTTCTTTTCAATAGAAGCAAATCATGAGGTCCCTCTCACACTCCATCTGAGGAGTTACACCAGAGCATAAATAACGGGAGGCAGGGATCACTGCGAGTGCATCTTACAGGCCATCTACCACACACACTCCAGTGTACATAACCTCAGAGCAGCCAAGCCTTGGAAACAGCCCGTATTAATACCAGGCCTTGTTGATCAGAATACCTTTTTGCTCTTTGATACCGAAAATAGTCTCTTTGTTATTGAAAGTCTCGACTGTGGTCTGTATTACAGAACTTAGTCTCTGACCAAAGCCAGCTTTATTACGTACGCTTTCTTTGGATGATGTTTGAGCATTTTCTTTCTTGTGACACATCCTTGTATTTTCATTTTTTCTTGTAGCCCTGGCAGCTGCTATGAAACTGCCATGACCAGATACTTTTATCATGGCCGCACAGAGACTGTGAGGTCATGTACAGTAGAAGCAGTCAGGTGGTGCCAGTCCATGCAGGATCCCTCTACTAGTGTGAGTATTTGAAAAACAAAAAATTCATAGTATTTATTTACTTGTTTAAAGGATCCTTAGACCTTGAATAACGAACCCCTTGGCTTCAGTTCTCCTGGATCAGTAAAATACTTTCAGATATTTTTTTCTGAAAGTTTTTGAAGCATTCATTCATTTGCTAATGAAGTATATACTTGGAAAAATATGAAACAGGAAGGACCTGAGAAGCAGTCCATTTGTGTCTGTTTCCAGGCAAAGTTGGTTCCCTCCCTCCCTTCCTTCCTCTTCTAAGATTTTATTTAAATTCAAGTTAGTTAACATATAATGTAGTATTGATTTCAGGAGTAGAATTTAGTGATTCATCACTTACATAGAACACCCACTGCTCATCACAGAAAGTGCCCTTCTTACTGCACATCACCCATTTCCCCCATTTCCCACCCCCCCATCTCCTCTCCTGCAACCCTCGGTTAAGAGTCTGTTACAGTTTGCCTCCATTTCTGATTTTATCTTATTTTTCCTTCCTTTCCTCTTTGTTGATCTGTTTTGTTTCTTGAATTACATATATGAGTGAAATCATATGGTATGTGTCTTTCTCTGACTTACTTTGTTTAGCACAATACACTCTAGTTCCATCCATGTTTTTCAAATGGAAAGAGTTTGTTCTTTCTGAAGGCTAATATTCTCTATATATAGAGAGAGAGGCACACGCGCGTGCGCGCGCACACACACACACACACACATCTTTATCCATTCATCAGTCAGTGGACATTTGGCTCTTTCCATAATTTGACTGTTGTTGGGAGTGCTTCTGTAAACTTTGGGGTGCATGTGCCCCTTTGAATCAGTAGTTTTGTATCCTTTGGATAAATGTCTTGTAGTGCAGTTTCTGGGTTGTTAGAGTAGTTCTATTTTTAACTTTCTGAGGAACCGCCACACTGTTTTCCATAGTGGCTGCACAAGTTTGCATTCCTGCCAAAAGTGTAAGAGGGTTCCCCTTTCTCTGCATCATTGCCAATATGTTTCCTGAGTTGTTGACTTTAGCCATTCTGACAAGTGTGAGGTGGTATCTCATTGTGCTTTTGATTGGTGTTTCAGCAAAGTGTCTTCAATACCATGAGTATTTTACTATTATTGATCTACCTTTGAGATAACACCAATAAAGTGAAGACTTTCCCAAAGTGCCTTAAAAGGAAGCTTTTCTTAATGTGGTTGAACGTTTTTGAAATCACAGATTCTTGTTTTAATGTGTTGGACCCAGAACAGTTTTGTTTTATATTTTTGTTTTGTTTTAAAAGTAATCTTTGTACCCAATCTGGGGCTTGAACTCACAACAGCGAGATCAAGAGTCACATCTCCTACCAACGAAGTCAGGCAGGCACCCGTATACTTTATTTATTTATTTATTTTTGAAGCATTTAGACGATAGGGTAGTTCCTTCCCCCTGGTATTTTGGTATTGTATTTTTTTTCTTTAGTTTTGATAGACATAGTTATGTATGTGTTAATTTATTTTAGTGTCCTAGAACCGCTTCCTTATCATTTTGAACAGCTGTGTGTTAGTATTGAAATCCTACTTGTTTCTGTCTTGACAGTTGTTAGTATCACTTCAGTGCTGCCCACAAGTTCCTATTGTTTTTCCTGCTCTGGGAAAGAAAGAATCAAGATGCAGGACCTATAGGAAAGAAAAGGCAGTAGAAGTGAGGAAAATAAATAGAAGCATGTGTCTAAAGGTCTTTTTAGAAATCTTTTCTCTCTCAGATGACCCGCATCCTAACTACATTGAGCTCAGGTTTTTTTGTTGTTGTTGTTGTTGCTGTACAGTTTATTGAAATATGTCTTGATTTTTAACACAGCCTCTTGAGCGACAGCGAAAGATGTTACAAGCTTTTGCAAAACATGATAAAATGATGAAATATTGTTTGGCTGGAAAAGGTACTTAAATTGGAATTATTCTGACTTAAAAAAATTCTCTCATGTTGAAAAATGTTTTCTAGCTTAATACTTGGGGTTTCATTGCAGGATTTGACCGTCATCTTTTAGGTCTTTTACTCATAGCAAAAGAGGAAGATCTTCCAGTTCCAGAACTCTTTACAGACCCACTTTTCTCCAAAAGGTAATATAATGTAATGTAGTGTTTAATAACTTAATCAGTTCCTTCTTTCTGAAGGTTACAAGCTTTTTTTAAAATTTACATTTATTCATTTTTGAGAGAGGGAGACCGAGTGCCAGCAGGGGAGGGGCAGAGAGCGAGGGAGACACAGCATCTAAAGCAGCTTCCAGGCTCTGAGCTGTCAGCACAGAGCCCAAAGTGGGGCTCAAACTCCGCAATCGAGAGGTCATGACCTGACCTGAACTAGGAGGCCTAACCAACTGAGCCACCTCTGGGCCCCTAAAAGCTTTTCTGAAGTAATGTAAGTTTCTGTAAGCCTAGTAAAATATCCTCTCTTTATGGCATACAGTGGAGGAGGTGGAAACTTTGTTCTCTCAACAAGTCTGGTTGGGTATTCAAGAGTCCTGGGAGTGGTGGTTCCCATGGTACACAATGGCTATGGATTTTTCTACCACATCAGAGATGACAGGTGAGACTGCTCTTCTCATTCTTACTGTGCTATAGAGTAAGAGAGCTTTTATTCTGTCTTTTGAATGTCATTCTTGCACTGTAATTCTGACTGTGTTGTCATCTGCCACTCGCTACGTAGGTAATTGTTTTTACCACGTGGGCATTTAATGTGTGTTTGTTTCTCTATCCTGCTTTTGGGACACTGGTCAAATCAGTCCCTTAGGCATTTTGTGCAGAACACCGATTTAGGTTGACTCAGTGATATACTGCCATCATCCTTAAATCTCAGTACACATATTAACATATTCTGGGCAAGGTGTTTTATGGTAATAAAACACATAAAATGTAATTGCCTATAAATATGTGGTGGTTCATGTAGTCCTAACAGTACTAATGTGACCAAGATAAGAGACTAGGTAAATTAATTTATATTCCAAAAAAGAATGTTTTACCTGCTCAGATGCAATTTCAGATGAGGTTTGATTGGTGTTTGTGGAAAGAAAGAGAAAGAAAATATTAAAACCTGTTAGGTGGAGAATAAGGTAATATGAAATTGGAAGAATGGCTTGCAAGGTCTTCATCCATATAGTCTGGCCATCTCAGAGATCTTTGAGAGCTTGGGGGGCTTTGTAAAAAATCATGTGGCCACATTTAGCACTATGTGAATAAGATGGTAGGATTGGGGGCTTCGGATGGAATGTGAACAATTGGATTGATAATATGTCTGACATATTTGTTTGTAATTTATTTTTTTCATTAACTTTTTAAAAAGAGTTTACAGTCAGGGTTGTTCTGCAAAATGTTCTCTTCTGCCTCTGTGTCAAGTGTGACCTGTGCATATAGTCTCTTACACCAGTGGTACTTACATTTGTTAGCATCTAAGTCCTTAGATATTTGTTCCCCTAGTATTTAGTTTATGCCCATGAATGTACAAATTAAAGGTTAAATTACAAATGTTCAACATAGATCTTACTATGTTTTCATATAAAGGGTCTACGGTCTAAAATCACGACCAGACACAGAGCATAAGCATTCTAACATATTTCCTGACAAGTATGGATCTTGTATTGCATGCAGTGACAAGGGTTCAGTCCAGACACACCAGGTCTCTGACTTTGGAAGTCCCGATCCTGGGGCAGAACATCCATTCACTCATTCAGGAAGTATGTAGTGGAAACTTGTAGCGTTTTAGGTGCTCAGGATGCAAGACAGACCAGATTTTCGCTTTTAGAGATTTTATTTTCTCCTGGGGAAAGAGGGACAGAAGCAAATAAGCAAGGTAAGTAGTGATGAGTGCTGGGAACCAGAAAGCAAGCTGATGTGGTAATACAGACACACTGGTGGGGAGGGCGAGATCGAGCACCACTTTACTTAGTGTGGTCAGAGAGCAACAGGGAAGTTGAGATGTTAGGGATGAGAAGGAATTAATACTATGCCAAGAAAGCAGCTCTCCAGACTCCGATCACCGCCTCCTACCTCCAGTGCCACCATCCGGGCTGAGCCACCATCTTCTCCCACTGAGGTTATTGCAACAGGTTCTCACGTGGTCTTCTGGGTCCACCCTTTCATTCTTACAGACCACTGTCTACACAACAGCCCTGATGCCCTTTTAAAAATGTGACTCAAGTCCTATCATTCTTCTCAAAATTCTCCAAGAGCTCATCTCACTCACAGTAAAATTCAGAGTCCTCCTGTGAGATCCTGTCTGATCAAGTTCTCAGTCACAGATCTGACCTTTCCTCTCTAGCTCTCCTCTTTCACTCTACTGCAGCCACCCTTGCCTTCTTGTACCTGTAGTACAGCAAGCAAGCTCCCTCCTCCTGGCATTTGTGGTTGTGATTTCCTCTGCCTCCTACTCTTCCTTGAAATAACATGCAGGGATCACTCCGTTAGTCCGTACAGGTATTTGCTTAAAATTTGCTCTGGCCGGGGAGGCCTTCTCTGATGGTCTAAAATAGCCCTTGTGCCTCCTTCACACACACACCTGCTGCATTTTTTTTTTTTTTTAGAACACTCATAACCATCCAGTGGGTATCCATGTTTGTTTGTATGTTCTCTTTCTTCCCTTCCTAGGATATAAGCCCAGAAGAACAGGGGTTTTGATTTGTCTGTTGTATCCCCAGCCCTGTAACAATGCCTTCTAAATAAGTAGAATACACTTAATGTTTTCACAGTGACTTTGCTGGTGAACAAAATTATATGGTCGTGGGGTAGGAAAGAGCCTGATATTTATAAGGAACAGAAAGAAACAGCATGACAATTAGCAATGAAGTTGCTTTGGGTGGGGGTAGAAGTTGAAGAGGTCCTCCATTTGGAGGACAGTGTTCTCAAGTCTGGGTACACATGAGGATCACCTAGAGAGCTTTAAAAACATTGCTTCTGGAGTTTTGGTTTGGGTGGTCAGTTGATACAGGGCCTTGTAATACAAGAAGTCAGAATTTTCTCCTAAGTATAATAGTAGGCATTTTACCAGATGCTGTAAAGGTCATGGCTGTGTTCATCATCACCATTTGGAGCCTCTTTGTGTTGTGATTTTTGTATAGTACTTAATCATTTTTTATTTGTGCTTCACAGGTTTAATGTGGCCAGTACAGCCTGGAAATCCTGCCCAGAAACTGATGCAGAAAAGCTGGTTCAGCTGGTTTTTCATTCTTTCCAAGATATGATGCAACTGATGAACACTGCTCATCTTTAGAGACTAGTCATTTATTAAGCATTGACAAAAATATTACACTGGGTGTGGAGAGTGGGTTGTTGATGTGAGATAGAAAGGAATATTGATTTAAGGAAACTTGTTAAATGTAGACATAGGTAGAATCACGTTTTTTAAATCTATTCTCACCTAGAAGATAAAAATAGGATTTTTAAGCTTCCTCTGATGCAGTAGCAATGCAAATTGATACAATGAGATATAGCATCATGCGAAAGTTGAAGATGAGCCTCAACAATGCAAGTCTACAATTTTTAATAATGCAAGTCTTACTCTTAACTTACAAATATTTTTGTTGGTACCTGTATAGGTTATAAATCCTCTGACCATCATTGTAGAGTCTGTCTTCCAAGCACTTTAACAGTTTCTAGTTGCCAAAGGATATAAAGTACATGATTAAATGCTAACTCCCCATGAAATCATTGCCTTCCACATTCAGCACAGGGATACAAGCCTGCTTTGTTTGATGGGAAAGGCCACTACAATTTACTGGTCATTTAAAAGTAGAATTTCTGTTGGATATAAGAATTAGAGGGAGGTTTATACCAAACCTATCAAAATTCATTATAACTAGTTTGTGAATATATAAAATGAAAGCACATATTTAGAGTTGGCGACTTTAAAAAGATTGAATGTTGAATCAGATTCTCAGGATTTTACAGGGTTTTTTTTCCCTGCTGTTCAAAATAGAAAATAAAGCTGTCAATCCTATAGCTTCTTGTATGGTGTTTGGATAACTAATCGATTCCTGTTTGACCTTCTACTTTCTGATGTAACTTAGGTGCTGCTGCGTACAACACCACCGAAAACTAACGGTCTTAAATCAATTATTTCACACGATGGTGTCAGTTGACTGTGCCCAGTTGGGTAGTTCTTCTGATCTTGCTGTAGTTTAATGTGGCTGCATTCACTAGGGTGCTGGACTGAGGCTGTAAAGCCCCCACTCGCTGGGGACTTGGTACCTGGGACACTCTCCACATGGTCTCTGATCATTCAGTATTCTAGCCTTGACTTCTGTACTTGGCATTGGGAGTGTTCCCAGAGAGAAAGGTAGAATTTGCAAGACCTCTTAAGGCCTAGGCTCTGAAGTCACGTGATGTCACTTGTTTTAACCAATAAAATGCCAAATAAGTTGCAATAGCAGTGTAGATTGGGGGGGGTGTCATTTCTTGATAGAAGAAACATTTTTTTTTTACTTTTTTGAATGTTTTTATTTTGAAGGAGAGAGAGAGAGCATGAGTCGGGGAGGAACAAAGAAGGAGACACAGAATCCAAAGCAGGCTCCAGGCTCTGAGCTGTCAGCACAGAGCCCGATGTGGGGCTTGAACCCACAGACCGTGAGATCATGACCTGCCCTGAAGTTAGAAGCTCATCCGAGCCACCCAGGTGGCCCCTGTTTCTTTGTGAAAAGTTGAGTGGGCTTCTTTAGCAATGGATACATCCTTAACAGTTCATATTTCCTCCTATTCTGTACTTTGGCCCTTTTTCCTCAGTACAATTTTATAGACTACATTGCCATGGGATTTAGAATCATTTGGTTCGCTGTTGTTGAATAATGTCTAAAGACTTGGGTATTTTAGAAACTATTCACCTCCTGCAGAGAAACCTCTTCTGTCCTACTTTAACACGTTTCCCTAACCTGCCTGATGTAAAAATCATCTGTAATGCTTTTTACAAAGAGCTTTCTGGGTCTCAACCCGACTGGTAGTAGTAAAATTTTCAGAGGCTTTTGAGTCACCACTTGGGTAATGAACCCCTTGCCCTATTCTTCTCTTGGTTAATCTGAAATTTAGTCCACTACCCACATGGTTCCATGTGAAAAAAATCTTTGGTAAGATCTGGTTTGTTACAGATAGAGGAACGGAGCTGGGGCAGTTTATTTACCTAAAGAGCCTGTGACAGAGGTGAGAATGGATAGTGCCTCAGTAAATTATAAACAAATGGGAAATTAAGGAAAAACCCTTTAGTATGGTTACAAAGGTTGCCTAGATTTCTTTTCCCTATCTCAACATATCCTGGGCAAATTAGGATTAGTGATAAAAAGTAATAGAGAACCTAGCATTTTATTGTTTCCAATGTTTCAAATTACCCTTGAGATAACTGCAATTTTTATGGAGTTAAAATTTTAATTAATGTTCAATTTTTTATTTTACAGGAACAGATGTGTGCCTGTGAAGTTAGCTTGTGTAAGAATCTCATTTTCTCTTGGACTTTGATGATAAAGTTGGGAATCCATTCTTTTGGAAAAAACAAACCTCAGGTCCCCAAAAGAATAGTTCAGAAACTCACCAAGGTAGACAGTAGGCAGTGGAACAATGAATGTCTTTTTCCTTTTTCTTTGGAAAATTTTCCAATCTATCCGGTCATCTACCCAGCTATTCAGGACAGTAAGAAGTTTCCCTGTGTCTGTGCTGTTAGCTCTATAGCTTTATTTGAACTTGTCTTTTCTCTGTATGTTTCTGATAACTCAACAGCTAGGCTGCCATTTTTATACCTCAAGACAGGTGTCACTTGTAACTCCTGAATTTGCAATGCTATAGTATCAGCAGCAAATCAGATGTTCTAAAACTTATGGAATGAGACACATCTGAATTATAGGATTATTTGTAAAAAAACGATTTCTAGTTTAAATCAGAGAAAGCTATAATTTGAATCTATTTTTAAGATGTAACAAGAGTTCATAAGTTCTGTGTCCCAGCCTGGACACTGACCATGGAAAAGTAGATGCCTTTCTGAGCCAGCAGCTGTTGATGTGTGCCATGCTCCTTGACCTTGCCATTCTGAAACACCACTATTAGGTCTGCGTTCTGGATGGTGGACAGGCGGTGAGCGATCACGATGCAGGTGCGGCCTTCTCTGGCTTTGTCCAGGGCTTCTTGCACAATCTAATGATCAATCAGAACAGAAACCTTAAACTTTCACCATCACAGAAGATTATTTTACTTTTTATATTCTCATCTCTGAATCTTTGAGTCTTTGGTTTTAATGCATGTAAATTTACATAAATGGCATTTAAAAAGTATTTTCTTTTTAATTATAATAAAAACCGATTCTCACTAAGTCACAGGTATCTAAGTTTTCTGTCCAGTTCTCGTACTTAATAGTTCCCTTTTATTATTGTGCTAAAAATGTGATGTATGCTGCTTTTTTCTTTTGAATATTTTTGGTTTAGGAAATCAGATAATTTTACAAAATTTGGGAAAAATTTGTTTACTTTTTTTCGTAGTTGATAGTGCACCAAAACTATTATGCAAAGTAAATGGAACATCAGGGCAGAGGCCACACCTTTTCACTTTCAGTATCCAGAGCTGATGTAGCTTCGTCCAACAGTAGGATTTGAGGTTGTCTGATAAGGGCTCGGGCGATAGCAATCCTCTGTTTTTGACCTCCTGAGAGCTGAGTTCCCTTATCTCCCACTCTTGTTTCATATTTCTGCAAGTTAACCATTAGTAAAGTTAATCAAGTCCTAACCCCCCAAAATGATTCATGGTATACTGAATAAACTTGTACTTTGCAACATTTGACAGTTCTGCTTAACAGGAAAAAAATACATAACAGCTACTTGGTGATCCATTTAATTTTTCCCCCCACTTAATCACGATCAAACTAGAACAAAGTTCTTTAGTTCTCACTAGTGTTCTGCAACAGAAATTTGAGCAGTAAATTCTTGAGTTCCCACCATTCTCATAATGCCAATTGATCTGATGTCTTTGCAGTCTTTAAAGGTTAAATACAAATATTTGAGTTTTAACTTTAAGGTTAAATATTCATGTGGAACCTAGTGTATTCTCTTTTCAACGCATTCACTTAAATATTTATGGAATACCTGTTATACCAACAACTGTGAGAAATATAAAAATGGAGGCAGCTTTCTTTTGTTGTTAACCCTGAAGGAATTTATAATGTGAAGAGATCAGCCACCTATACAGCACTCTATTTAAGGTCAAATAGGTGCCAAATGAGTAATATATTCAACATGGTATGAAAGATCAGAAGCAGCAAATAGCAACTATGGAGAGAAAGCAGGAGAACAAACAAGAGATACATGAAGGAAAGAAACCTTTGTGCATGAAGGAAAGAAGTTGGAAAGCTGCATCTTGAGAAAGAACATTCTAGGCTGGGGGGGAAAAAAGCAGAAGGAATAAAAGGGCCAAAAAAGTACTGTAGGGCTTAGGCAGTAATGTGAATTTCCTCAAGTCCAATGTCAGTAAAGAGCTGAAGCTTTAGCTTTTCTGCTAATCAAATTCTATATGAGGGTCCATGACTAGGTGTTAAGGGTGAGTAAGGTTAACCAACATGGAGGGTTTGACAGTGTATGACTGTGATTGTTAGTTACAGCAGAAGAGAAAAGGTAAAAATAGTTGAGATTTATTTCAGCTTAATTCAGTGGAACCTGAGATGCTAGCTAAGACACAAGATTAATGATCCCTGCCATCACTTTCGAGTTTCAAATAATCTTTGCAGGACAACTCACCTTTACCAACTACTGGAGAAAATTGTTCCACTGAACTTTTTCTTATTTTTAAATCCATAGTGACTTAAATGCACTTTGGCTACAGACACGGTAGCTACAATAAGCTAACAAGGGAGAGTTGGGGACCATGCAAATAAGAGAATAATGCCCTCTCCAAATGAATAAATTGAAACAGTAAAGAAAAACTTTATCCGAAAATATAAAACTTAAAAAAAAATGGAGAAATTCTTCAAGACCTGGGGCTAGGGAAATAGCCCTGTTTGATACCAAGTGCACAATGTGTATAAAGAAAACGTGTTAACTGGACCTTATCAAAATTAAACACTTGGCTCTGCATAGGACCCACCCTGTTAAAGGATGAAGAAATAAGCTATCGATTGGCTCAAAATATTTGCAAACTATGTATTTGACAAAGGACTAATAACTAAAATATGTAACTGTCAGAACTCAACATTTTTTTCAAATTAGAAAATAATTTAAAAAAACAAGTTATTTCACCAAAAAGGAAATAGTCTGTATTTCCAAGTAAGTATGTAAAAAGATGTTCAACATTTCTCATTAGGAAACCCACCACAATGAGTTATTACTACACATCTACCAGAATTACAACAGCAAATGCTGGCAAAGATGCAGAGAAGCTGTAATTCACACCTGCCGTAGGAACACAAGATGGTACACTCTGGAAAACAGTTCAGTTTGTTAGAAAACTGAACACACAATTACCATATGGTCCAGCAACTGCACTTGTGGCATGTATCTGAGATATAAAAACTCCAGTTCACGCTAAAACCTGTACAGTAATGCTTAGGAGATTTAATAGCCAAAACCTAGACACAACGTAGATAGGCTTCAACAGGTGAATGGCTCAACGAGCTGGTATATCCGTACCATGCAACCTTACTCGTCCTAATAATCAGGATGGCATGGCACTAAAGAGAGAAAAAGGCATGAACTATAGAGAACAAGAACTTGCGGGGATTATGCTGCATGGAAAAG